AGTGCGAGTCCGTGGACGAGGCCGCGCGCTTCCCGAAGGACCTGCACCAGCCCGTGGGACCCAGCTGGTTCTCGGAGCGCCAGGGCTTCCTGCGGCCCTCCCACCGCGAGCCCACCATCCACACCAACGACGGGCGCTGCTCCCTCACCTTCACCCTGGGCAAGGACATCAGCGTGCTGAGCTCGCTGCACGCCGACGGCAGCGGCCTCGCCGAGGACATGGGCAGGCGACACATCATGCAAATCCGCCGCGGGAACCAGATCGAGCTCAAGGTCCACCTCCCGCACGCCGGGAACTTCGTGCTGAAAATCTACTCCAAGAAGAGGTCGGATCCCGGTAACTATGACTACATCTTCAACTACCTCATCACGTGCCTGAACACGGAGGTGAAGTGGCCGGCCTTCCCCCAGAGCTACAGCAAGTGGATGGAAGACTACGAAATCCTGGAGCCGCTGTCGGGCCTGCTGCCCGCCAACCGCAACGTCCAGTTCAAACTCAAAATGCACGGCATAGCCAAGGTGCTGGTTCAGGCTGAGAACACTGACCCTCTCACCCACAACAGAGGCTGCTGGGAGGGAACCTGCAACACCTCGGGGTGCAGAGAGGTGTTTGTGATGGTGCACGAGAACGCCAACCACAGCTTTTACTCACACGTCCTCAAATACCAAGTTGAGACCCAGTAATACTCCTTGTTCTTTCACTCACCTGCATGAACCAACCTTCCCAACGTGCCCCAGGCCAACACAGCTTTAGGAGATCACTCATTCTCTCAGCAAAATCTGTTCTTTCAACAAATGGCAGGACAACACTTGCAGGCTCTTGCAAGACCACGGGCTCGAAGACGGTCAAAGAAACAGAAAATCCCGTTAAGAAGGGAGCAGCAGTGGAAGACATGAGATAAAAAGCTCACCTATATTTCAGTAATACTGTCCAGACAAATATCTTGAAGCAAACAACTGACTGTCTGGCCATAGGTCATTCTTTTGCCAAGAGTGACTACTGGTTTCCAAGTTATGGACCATAAGAAAAGTCTTACAAGGGCTACTCCAAGAAGAATTCACCTAGTTATGGGGCCCGATGAAGAAAGTGCACCCTGGTTTTGAGCAGCAACATTGGGCACAAGGAACTTCAGGATATTTAAACTGAGTTTCCATATATCTTTAGTCAAGTTGTGTATCCAAGGAGAGAGAGAAGTGTTAGGAAGAAGATACAACGTGAAGTTTCCTTGTGCACTTCATTGTCTTACAGATATAAGTGATACTGCAAAATTGCTTTTTACATTGACTCTTAAATACAATAACTATTTACAATATACAATAATACAATTGTATATACAATACAATCATTTTTACCTTTTTATATTACAGTATTGTAAACACTTTTTCTGCTGCAATTATATCTCAAGCATACAGGTGTTTCCATAACTAAAACTACAGTAAAATGGAGAACAATCACTCCTTACTCCAATCTGTCTACGCAACATTGCAACTAAAAACTGATGGGGTTCTGTGGGATAGCAAGCTGAGTGACATTATTATCATGTAAAAACTATTTGGTGCTGTACTCCTGTAAAAAAAAAAACCATGCACAAGGAAAGGGGGGCTTCTAGTGAATCCCACCACAAATGCATGTCCTAAGATGGAGCAACATTTTCACAATTGATTCAGATGTCAGTGAGCATTAGCATGACCCAAATGATACTATGTTTGAGCTTGAATTGAAAATAAACCTGTTATGTTTTTGCACTCTGTTTCGTTGACCCAGCAATATGAATTCTCTTCACAAAGCTGCTGCATTTTCCACACAAGAAAGGTGGGTTATTCCTACACTCCCTCCTCCTCAGTTATTCACGCTAGCACGGGGCTGCCCATCTGCAGGAGGATTACTCCCACGTCACTCCCTCTACCCCAGCACCCAGGTTTGACCTCCTTGAGTACCTGGAGCCAGATTCAAGTATGAAAACTCTCTGTGAGGGCACAGGATGCTGCAGACACGAGTTGCAAGCATAAACACAACATGTAACCTAACGGGGCTTACTCCAGGGTGCCAGGAGTACAGCAATGCTTTGGGGGTGTTTTGTACTTGGGAGACAAGGAGGCTCCATATGTGACATAAAAGTAGGTTTTAAGTCCTCCCCCAAACAGCTAAGTGTCTTTGCCCTCAAAAACTGGTGGCAGCAGCTCCTCCCTGCAGGAACACTAACAAGCCTTGCAGCTCAGCAGGCTCTGCTCCCCGGACACCAACACAGACTGAACAGCACAGATGCAAGACACACTCGGGGATTTTTTGATTACCTAAGGACCTTGAAGGCTAAAGCAAGTATTGTCTGTCAGCACAGACAGCCCTGGTTTATTTTGGTGCCTAGCAGAAGGATACTTTTTTCCTCAGATCCCACTTTTCAGATCAAGGAGGACACACTGCAGCAGCTTTCATTTCACGGGTCACGCTGACCCAGTCAAACACGGCACTTCTTACAATGGGAGGATAAGGAGGCATCCCAGAGAGCTTAGGGACTAAAGAAAACAACTTCTTCCACATAACAGGGTCAGGGATACTGAATCACAGATACCCTTTGTGGAACCAAACACTCGATGTTCTCTCACAAACAGGCAGGAGTAGCTGGCAGACACAGCGCAGAGTGACTCTGCTGTGAGCGTGGCCCCTGCTCCTCGTCTCAAAGACTCACTTTCACAAGGTCTCTCTCTAACCCCACATGCTCTGTTTCTGTCTCCAGATGGTAGGGGCAACAAAAAATTATCCCAAGGGAGTAGAGAGGACAGTTTATACAGTATTGCCCCCTACGTAGCACGACCTCAGGGAGTATTCCCTCTCCCTGCCATCCAACCCTGCAAAACCCAGGCACCTGCAATTACACACATCTACAGAGGCACAGACAGATTTTTTTAACTCCTCAACGTAAAGAGTGACCCAAAGCACTGCCACACCCACAGCAGAACATTTGTAGCACAATGAAGACAGAGGGAGCCTGCACAGCTTTCCACTCTGGTGATGTACAAAAGCAAGTACTGCGAATAAAGTTCCACACTTTTGTCTCAGACAGAAAACAAACATCTGGCTCAGCCCTGAAAATGTGCAAGAAATTCTTTAGTGCTATCGAAGGCATCAGTTCAAAGACACAGAACCTCTCTCCTGCTTCCTTAATTATAAAGCTTCCAGGGCCAGGTGATTATTCTAAGGGAGGTTTGACACTGCAAAGGCCTGAAAAACCCTGCAGCCCCAGATAAAAGCACCTCAGAAGTCTGCACTTGCTGTGACATCTCCCTCCGGGATAAACACAGCTTCTTCTCCTCCCCCTCATAAAAAATGTGCATTCTTCAGCGCAGCCAAGGCTCCAACACCAGGAGAACAGCTCTGGAACAGACTTCTCAGTTATCTTGGGACATCTGCAAAGAAAGAAGGTGGGAAGGACAGAGCACACACACCAGCACAGAGAAGGAACTCAGCAGTTCCCCTGAATTTTACTTTAGGTCACATTAGTTCAAGTTTTCACAGTCTACTCTCTCAACAAAGCTACTTATTACAGGTATTAGAAATTGATAAACACTGTAGGATTATAGCTGCTAATTAAACAAATGGATCATCTTCAGGTTTGCTCTTCCCTTCTGCCAGCATGATCTGCCAGTGTATCTAAAGGAAAGGAATATGGAAGAGAACACCAGTAATGAGGCAAAATGCCTTCTAGACTTCTGAAAACACTGCATGATGCAACACTTGGTAACTTAACAAATCCTCAGGAAATATAGTACTATTTGGGAGGTATCATTTAACAAATGAAATTGCTGGTATCCCTGAAGGACTTGAGGAATCCCTAAGGATTCTGGCAGGTGCACTGGGTGCACCTAGAGGTTCATCTGCAAAGAGGAAACAGTTTGTTCTATTCTGCTGTTCAGTTTTTATCCAAGTGCCCCACGGCCAACACGTCCTTATTTGAGATCTGGACAGACAAGGTGGATGTCACAAAAACACTTACCTGTGGACAGCTCTGAGGAGCCAGTTGTGGGCAGTTCAGCACTTCATTACAAAGGCTGCACAATGAGAATCCAGAAGGGATTTGAAGGTTTTATCCTGTGCAAAGAACTCCAGAAGAAAGCCAAAATAAAAGGACTTTTGGATTCAAAGGTCTTTGAACTCTGGAATGCAGAGTTGCATGACCAAGTGCAGTCCCAGTCTGCAGCCAGGCATCACCTTTGCTGAACTCATCTGCCTCACCTGATGCTTGGGGTTTGCATCTGTGGGAATAAAGTCCCATTTATTGACAGCATCAAGCTGCTCTGAGACAAGCTGAAGCTGATGGAAGGGAACAGGAAACTTATGGACACAGACAAGAGATGCCTCTGTCCCACAGTTTGCCAGCACAAAAGCTGAGCAGGCTCAGACACAGGAGAACTGCAGAGAGCCCCTGGAAGAAAGCAAGTTCTTAAGAAACAAGTTCTGTTCACTCATTAATAACTTACTTTCCTCAAGGAAGACCGAATGTATTGCCAAAGAGAGGTCACAGATGCACTTTAATGCAGCAGTTCAACTGGACTGCCCAGATTCCAACCAGGCTGACACCAGCTCACACAGCAGCTGCTCTGTGGATGAACCTCACCCGTTTGTGGGTTCTCCTCCCATCCAGTGTCATTGCCCATTCCAACTACTCTCTTTTCCAAGAGCCATGACCACAACCAGGATTCAGCCATTCATTCCTCAGCTATTTTGCAGCACCTCAAGCACCGTGCATGGCAAGATAAACCAGATATTACACAGACAGCAAAGGGCAGAAGTTGCATGAACCAGGAAATACTAAGAAATTCCACTAAGGGCAAATTAACTGGAGAAAATGGAGGTAGCCTAAAGGAAAGAGGAATTATATTCCTTGTTCCTTGAAGAACACAGCTATGCTGTGATGGAAAAGGTGTTGATCCAAGTTCCTGATGAGAAGGCAAGATAAGCCACCAGAGATTCACTTTGTGTATTTGTATGAACGAGAAAAAAGGTGTTTGTCATTCTGGTTTATTTCAGTGCTCTTACATGTATAAAATATACTTTAAATACTTTACATAAAAATTAGCAAGTGGTTTGCTTCTTAAAAACACCGAAGTCTTTGTGAGCTCTGATGCAGGTCTCTGACCCACCAAGCTGACTAAAATGTTTGTGGTGTAACACCTTTCATCAGAACAAACATGTCAGAGAGGAGTTCCTTTCCCTCAGCTCCCATCCTGCTGATTCAGCTCCAAGTGGGAGACATGGCCTCTCAAATTCTGATGGCAAGTGATTTATAGGCACCACTCCAGTCACAGTTTGGAACCACATATTCCAGCATTCCAATTCCACAAGAAACATCACTCCTGGTGTTCAAACCGTCTCACTATCTTTGCACTCTCTTTTTTCAGTTCCTCAATGTGAGCGTTCAGACATTCCAGGATGTGCTGGGATCTCACTTCTTCCTCTTCCAGGTATCTTGCAGCTATTGATCCAACAGAAGCTGTAGGCAAGGGGCACTAAAGGGAAGCAAAGGGATATCAGGTATTCCTTCATTCCAAGTTCCAGCCAGAAACCCCACTGATCTGCAAACCACACAACTCAACACGCTCCTAAAGGGCTCTTGGGTCACTTCCACCTTATTGGGCAGAATAAGCACTCAGGTCTCACACCTGTATCACAGCTCATGTCCCTCCCAACAGCCAACATGTCCAGCCAACAGTCATTGCTTTCAACAAGCCAAGATTGCCAAAAAATCAGAACTAAAGAATCAGGGCTAAAGAAGGTCACTACAGAATACCCAGGGTTTTCTCCTGGGCGTTAGTGCACCTCGAGGTTTACATCCTTCATCTCCATGAAAATCCCAGTGAGCAGCACCACCTCAGAGTTTGGGTTCCAGGGAAGGGAAAGCACTGCCAGACTGGGCCAGCACTGTTGTGTTTTATATACCTCCTGTTCTTCCCTGAAATAATGGGCTTCTGGTACAATCCCACAGGCAAGTACAGACCAAACTGCCCTCACGGCTCAGGGAACAGCACCTCAGTCCAGCCAGCAATGGTCAACAAACTACACCAGATTCTTTCCTTTACAGTCAAGAACTATTCCTGCTCCTCACATCACTTACCACAAGTTATTAACTTACAAAAACAACATTGTAAACCAGGCTTAATGTACAAGTTGATGAAGAGAAGCCTCCTGCACAGGGCTGGCACGTGACATATAAGGTTACTAAGGGGCTGCTTTCCATTACAGACAATTTGCCTCATTGTCTTGGCAAGAGAAAGTTAGTGGTTATTTCCAAATCCTGGAGTCTTGTGGTTTTCAGGTCTTTTATCAACAGCCAGGAACAAAGGGAAGCAGAAAAAGGCTGCAGATAACAGGCAAATCCCTTACCACCCCACTACTGCCTACTGAGGAGAATTTCTCCTCTCCTGATGTTAAATGAACTGATTTAAAGACCCTGGACCTGACCATGAGCAGGGAGTCCCAGTCAACACCAGGAGAAATATCTGCATTTCCTTAGAAAGCTTATTTCTACCTCTCAAAACACAAAGCAGCACATCCTCTTCTACTAAACATCAAGCCCTAGAGCTTCTCAGACCCTGAAGTGGAACTGTTCACACTTAAGCTCCAATACTGCAACTTGAGGAGTTTCCATTTAGAATATTACAGTTCCCTAAGCTCCCAGTATTGCTTTTTGGACATGCCCACTAACTACTCTAGTCTTGAAACAATCAAGTTTCAAGTAAATCTCATCAAGATCTACAGACCTTACAAGCCTCCATTTATCTGAGCCTTAGAGCCTCTTCTCTGGGCTCCCCACAAAACAAAAATAGCTGTTGTCACTGCTAACAACACACAAACAGAGGAGAAAATGTTCTGAACACTGCTAGGGCAAACATCTGGAGCAAGGACCAGTACTCAGCATTCTCCCCTCCCTGAATTACTACAGGAAGAAGTGATTAAGTCCAAATTTCCTGTATCTTGGGCAAGTGCTCCAGCAACTGAGCTGAGGTAAAAGGACAGAGAAACTGCCAACACTGCTCCCAACTAAAAAAGTGTGATCAGCAACTGGGGAAAATAGCAGCCTCCCCTTGTGCAGTGAAGCAGGGATTTCAGACTTTCCCATCAGCTAGGATAAGCAACTTTAAGTTCAGTGTGCTGACTGCTGCAGCCCCACTCAGAGGGGTCAAACTCACCCCGTGCTTTACAGATGTGCAGCAACCAGTCACTCAGAGACTGTGAAACACTGAAACTCAGCACTCCACATCCACTCTGAGCCACTACTACAGAGCCAGGTAAAGGCTGAGGCAGAATTCAGAGGGGACACGAGCAGCTCGTGGTGCACACTGAGGTACAGCACCAGCATGGAGAGAACCACGTGCTCCTGGAATTAGCTGAGCAACAACACAAACACAAAGCCTTCCCCCAAGGAGTTCTGAAGAGCCACCACATGGATGCCACTGGCCAACTGTAACCATCCAGCAGTGGTTGTCCCTCCCTGTTTAATGTTTGTTTTATGCACACCACGCAGCCAAGTCATGCACTCAAAATCTGTCTCCTTTTGCCAGATGAGAACCCAGGTCTATTTTCAGCTGTTGAATAGCAACCAGCTCCTGTACAACTGCTTACCAAAGGCACAGATTCCCTCTGATGATTCGAGACAGGCTGCTTGGATGCTTCATCTGCAAAATCTTTGTTTCCATCCACCACATGGAGCAAAGGCTCTGCTCCCAGCAAGGCAGGTGACTCCTGGCAGTTCTTCCTGCTGGTCTGGGAGGGTGGCTCACCCATCTCGGGGGACACAGGTCCCGTTTCAGCAGCCCCACATCGCTGGGGCTCCCCGTGATGATGCTGAGCAGTCCCATCAGGCTGGAGATGTATCCTGGCTGCTTGTTCATCCTGCACATGCTGTGCTTCCCGAGCTGTCCTGAAAGGCAGGTTTGAGCACAGAACTGAGTTTGCCTCTTAGCAGCTGAACTCCAGCAAAAACTCACACAGAGGTAACAATTAACAGAGATGTTATTAACAGCCCTGGCAATCCAAACTTGTTTCCACAGCACTTCCAGATGCACATCCAGTCCCTAGGGAATTCTCTCTCCCTCTTCTGCTACTGTAGATACCAAAAACTACAGACTGCACATCCTAAAACTGCAACAGAAAGGAGCGCAGCTGCCTGGGGCACATCTAATTCTGTCACCAAAAGGAGCAGAGACTGCTGCTCAATCAGAAAGAGAAGCAAAGGCAGACAAAAGACAAACACTGCTGGCTCTGCAGAACACAAACCAGCTGGGACTCAAAGCTATTGCACTGCTGAAAGCATAAAAGCAGATTCCCAAACAGTCCTTGTGTTCTCCCAGACGCGCGATGTGCTGGAGAGAGACACTACACACACAGCACGGCGTTAAAACCCACACACCCCCACACCCTCTGCTCTCCTCCACGCTCGGGGTCGTGCCCCACTCACCTGTGCTGCACAGCCCTGGCCTGGGGCTCTCTGCCTGGCTCCTGCTGGGCAGTGCCCCGGGGTTCATCCAGGCAGAGCCGTGCACTGACCTCCAGCTTCGCCCTGGTCTCCGCCAGGTCCTTCCGCAGCTGCTGGTTCTCAGACTTCAGCTTGTGCAGCTCGACAGCACAGTCCTCCCTGAGTGCTCTCAGGGTCACATCTTTTCCCTAACAGACCAAGAAGGGCTGAAGTCAAAAGTTCTGGTTTGCAGGACACCACAGTCAGACCCAGAGCAAAGGTCAGCAAGAGATTCCTTAAGGCCCATCCTCTAACCTCGATTTTGACTGGCAAAGCTTTCCAGGCTTTCCTGAGGGAAAATCAGTCATATATGCCTCACTGGGTCTGCATCCAGACAGGCTGTGCTGATCCACCTGGGAAAGCAAGTCTCTCACCACTGAATGCTTTTGAAGACAGGAAAACAAGGACCAAGAATAGCTCACCTGTATTTTAACCTGGGCTTTCTTTTTGAAACTCTGAACAACTTGCTTCTTCCCACTTCCTTTTTGCCAGTTCTATTAAATTTAGATGCTTAATTCATTGTCATCACTTCTGTATCTAAGGACTTTCCATATGTGCATTAGGACCACCTGGCCAAGATCAGCAGCTCCTGTTTCATGGGGCTATGGAGCTTTTTTTTTAAAAGAAGATTTCTTACTTTGCACCCTGCTACCAAGTTTTTGGGAAGTCACACAGGCAAAAGCCACCAGGCACTTTTCAAGCAGAAGTAATGGGCCTCAGGTTATTCGGTTGCAAATCAGCCCTCTGGAAAGCTCTGCTTTTTCTGCATCTCAACAGCCACAAGCTTCTGTTCAACATCCTCCCAAGAACTTGGCACATTTGACAATCACCCCAAACTAACACTAGAGCAAAGTATTTCCTTCCCACAGATCTGACAAGATAAAAGCTCTGCTATATTCCCATTAGGTTGTCAGCTGTCTGAATCTAGTCCTTGCCCCCTGGGAAGCATCCATTCTGCTTTAGGTGAGACAGAACTTGCAAACCAACCATTTCTTCCTTATCACAGCCACTAAAATGAACCAGCTCCAAGGTATTATTCCTGCCAAGGCTGCACCTTTTCCATGCAGGCTCCCCTTCTCCCCTCTGGCCAAGAGGGCCTCACCAAATCTCAGGAGTGCCACAGCAGCAGCAGCCCACCACAGAGCCCCTTCCTGGTGCATTGTCCCAAGGCATCCAGCCCATATTCCCAGGCTGCAATCTGCCCTGGGACTGCCAGGGCCAGCCCTGCTGAATGGCTCCTCACCAGGGGAGAACATGTTCTCTCCCCTTATTTCAAGGACCAGAGCAGTTACAGCTCTGGGACAGGCCAAAAGGACATCACAGATTCAGAATGAGAGGTCTGAGGTAAACTGGCATAAAATGGAAGTGTAACAAAATGTACTCCATGGGCCAGAGCCCGTGGAGAAGAAACAGATGATGGCTGCTCCTGCAGTTCTTCTCACCACTCTCCGGTTGAACAAACGCTCATTATTTCTGCACCTTATTTCCTCACAAATTGCCCCTTTTGCTCGGGTTTTAAGTTCACTGAACTCTACCACGCATTTTGAGAGGCCTGGGCAAAGACTCTGATTACTCCAGGGTGGGAACACACACCATCAGCCCCTTCCCATCTCCTGGTTCTCAGTGCATACCTCCAGCACACCACACTTGGTTTTTTCCAGCTTCTCTGAGAGATGACGGTTTTCCAACCTCAAGGTTTCCAGCTGGACCAGAACTACCTGAGGAGACAGAGGCAAACAACAAGCTTAGAAAAAGAAGAGAGCACATACCCACAACACCCTCCAAGCATTTTCCACCCTCAAATTCAAGCACAGAGCAAGGTTTGGGCTGTTAGTTGTGCGGGGACCCTACAGAGAAGGCCATAAAAATAACCATGCACAGTTATTTTCTTGAGTTTCCAAAGATGTCGTGCATCCAGGCCTAGTTAACATGAGTTCTGTGGGATTCCAAAGAATTCTGTGGGATTCCAAAGAATTCTGTGGGACTATCAGTTATTAGTTTGAAAATCAGCAGCAAGACAGACCCAGTGAACACCACGGATTAGAAGATTCCATCAGAAGGGTCTCAAAGTCTTTGTTCAAAGGCTAGAGAGAGAAGGAAACTGTGAACATAACTAAAAAGCAGGATGGTATTCCAAGCCTTCAGATCCCTTAGAGAGACAGTATGAGAGTCTTATGCCTTTTTTACCCTGTGCTCCACTGCTTTCCTCTCTGCTCTTTCAACCTCCGCCCTCAGCCGCTGTTCCAGGTCTGACGTGGAGCCACTTGCCGATGCAATGGTGATGTCCCGCTGGTGCAGCTCCTGTGTCAACCTGGAGATCTCCATTTTCATCCCTTCCAGCTCACTGCTGTGTGTTTGCTCAGCGTGAGAGAGCTGCTCTTTCAGCTGGAGGGAGACATGCACACACCACCCACGAGCTTTTAGAAGATGTTTCAGCAAAGGAAGCGAAGTATCGCACACGACAATGTGATATCTCAGTACTGGAAAACAAAAGGCTCTATGGAACAAGCCCTCTGTGCATGTTTGTCCTTCTTGATTGAAAGCCACCTCACCCCAGTCCTTTCCCACACCATAAACTGCCAAGTGGGACAGGACAGGAGGTACATGCTGTGAAGCACTTTGGAAGAACCATAATTCATCAAATCACGGTCTCTTTAACTCACCACTGGACCTTGGTGACCAACACCAGAGAGCCAAAGGTCCACCATCACTGTGGAAGCACAGTAACACTTGGATAATATAACCTTGCAATTTGCCACTCTGCCTTCCTGAGATATTTAAAGATACCATTTAAGGATGGCAACTTTAAATAGCTCGAGCCAGATTTTTCTTCCAGGAATTAATTTGTCCTAAGTCTTCTGAATCGATATTAGCTTGTAGCAACTAGAGCTACTCATGGCAAACTTCCACCAGCCAGCTATGCACAGGGTAAAAATATATCTCTTTGTTTTCATAACTACATGTGATGACCACTAGTCTCTGCATTATGAGACAATAATCATTCCCTATTTACTTTCCACATGACAGGCGTGATTTTATTTTTAGTCTGTTCAATCTCATCTCTTTTCCAGTTTGCTAAGTCCTATTCCATTCAGCTGTTCCTTGTATAAAAAACACTCCATCCTTTGGGTCATCTTTTTCCATACCTTATCTTGGTTTATGCAATCCTTTTTTGAGGTGGCAGACCTGCACTGCATACAGTATTCTGGTAGGCACACTGTATATTTATTCAGTGACACAAAAGAACAACAGCAGCATAATTTCTTCCCCAGGATTCCATTCCATTAGTCAAAAATATTAACCACCCGAACATCCAGGATTTTTCTGAGTATTACAAGCATTTTAGAAAATTGAACCAGATGATCTCTGCCTAGCCATGTAAATACTGTACACATGGTGATTTATCTCCATGTCACCTCAATGCCTCCCAAGTATATAAAATAGAAACAGCCATCATAAATCTCTCTCTCCTCCCCAGCAGCCTGTGGGAGATTCATTTACTGTGTGGCTGTTTAGATGTGTAACCAAGCACACATCTCTGGCAAGATCTGCACCTCTACACATTCAGAATAAAGGATGAAGGATTTCCACACAAGTGATGTTTTTCACTCAAGTCCAATGAGGTTTCCACTCTAGCAGGCTGCAGTGAAAGCTCTCACACCAGCTGATCCAGACCATTATTTAAAGTCAAGCCTTGTGGAGGGCTTGTTCCCCTTGGGTGCTCAAGCACAGGGGTGGGGCCCTCGTGCAGGTGAGCAGCTCCATCCTCCCAGCCCCTGACTTCATGTCCAGGTACCAAGCCTGAAACAAACTCCTTTATTCACCTGTGGACTAGAACACACTTGAAGCCCTGTATCTAGTGTGATAGGACATATCACAGCAAACTCATTCCCTCTCTGCTCTTCCTCCTGTTGGGAGACTGTATTAGGCTTAAACTCATGATTCCAGACCCTAATTTCTTGGCATATTTGTCCCTCCAGCACTAATTCAGGTATTTTCACAGTGTACAGAAGTACTGTGGGATGCAGGGTAGGCCCAGGAGATGCTCACAAAGCCAAGTTCAGACACCTGCAAACACATCCTCTCAACTCCTCCTGTCAGGTGTGCTCCTTACCTTCAGCACATCCCTGCCTCCACAGCACCCCAGCCCTTGGTCCCCTTGGAGCTGTGCTGCCTGTGCACATGGCACACGTGGGATCAGCTCACTCCTCCAGTGCCTTCCCAACCCCCAGGAACAGAGTCACATTACCTTTTTAATCTCCGCCTTTGACTCAGTCTGGTGGTCTATCATGGACTGCAGCTCTTTGATATTCTCACCCAGCTCCTCCCTCAGCTGCACACACCTGGCATTTGAAGACACCAGGCTGGGTGAAAACGTAAAAAGACAGATTAGAATATCCCGAGGAGGGGGAAATGGTCAGAAAAACTCTGATCTTCCAAGCAGTCTCCTACGTCCACCCTAACAGAAACAGGACTCAACCCACCAGCTCCTTACCAATCCTTTGGGTTTGCTTTCCAAAATCATTTCAAAAGAGATCAGGAAGCTGACCTAACAGATGATAGCTGTTTCTTGTTTATTCCTTTACCATACTAAGATTACGAACTTCCCATGCAAACATGAATCTGAAAACCACAAACTCAAGAGAGGAATCACAGAATCACAGGATGGTTTGGGTTGGGAGGGACCTCAACACTCATCTCATTCCACCCCCCTTCCATGAGACCTGGTTGTTGCTCCAACCCCCACCCAGCCTGGTCTTGAACACCTCCAGGAATGGGCAGTCCACAATCACTCTGGGCAGACCTGTTTGTAACTCTTATCTCATGAAAAGTCTCGATCTGGTTCTTACCAGCTGCCTAACAAAGGCTCCTTAACCTATTAGTGGGAAGGTGCTCAGCCTAAGCAAGCTGGAACACTGAGAACACCCACAGTGTGCAGTGAAAAGCAGCCAACCAATTAGCAAAACAGTCTCACTGCAAAATGAATAGCACTTGATTTCTTTAGCCCTTTGATATTTAAAACAAGCCTACAAAAATCAGTGGGACTGGTTAACTGGATGAATACAACTAGGTGCTGTATTATTATCCAAGATTAATTGCACTTCCAGGGGGAGCAAGCAGTGGGCTACCTGTTCTCAAGACGAGTCACCTCCGACTGCAAGTGCTGTTCCTTCTTCTGGGCAACCTCCAGTTGCAGCAGCACGTGCTCCAGCTCCGGAGAAGACAACTGCTTCCCTTGCAAGCGTTCCTCCAGGGCCCTAAGGAGAAACCTCAGCTTCAGTCTCAGCACAGAAACATCACTGAGTTCGCTGATACAGGGAACACAACCACTGTTTTCTTGGAATTCTCTGAAAAACATACAGAGCCCAGCAGCAGGTGACTGTGGCGTGCAGTGTGAGGAAGCAAACACACAGCTGGGTGACAGCCCCTGCCTGAGTTCATGCTGACTGAAAAAGGCTGCATTTTAGTTTGATGTTGGCCTCCCTGACAGAGACAGTCTGGCTGGTAGGTGAGCAACACCCAAGCCTTCTGACACAGCCACCAGAACCCAACAGCTTCTGTACATTGCCAGTGCAGAAGGGGAAGGCCGAGATGATTTTGTCACAGATGTAGTTACCTCACCAAGGGCCCAGTCTGACATCATTAAATCAGAGAGAACTTTCAGTTATGTTAATAAGCACGTTATCAACCCCGAACAGCCTCCAGCACTTGACTGAAAATGCCTGAGGGAAACAACTTCAAAAGCCCTGTGCTGCCTCGAGAAACCCAGCTGAGGGGAAAGCAGGTTCCTTCCACACTCTTCACTGATTATCAGCTGATTTCAAGAGCAATGTAATTTGGCAAACACTGCAAGGCAGCACTTGTGAGAAACTACAGCACACCACTCTAGACACAACCAACACAGATCTAGCTGTGTGAAAATGCTGCTACTGTCCTCAGTGGGAGAACCTGGAATGTAGATCTGGATTCAAGAGCCTAAGTACCAGTGAGGTCCAGATGCTACCTGATGAGGAATTCCTTTGTGTGAAGAGTTTCAGTCATCCTGGCCAGCTCTTTCTGTAACTGTTCCTGCTGCAGCTTGGAGCTGTCAATGAAATCCTCTTGAGACTGCAAGGTGGCTTTCAGTTCCCTCTTTTCATCCTGCAGCACCTGCACAGGAGGGAGAAGGAATGACTGCTGCAAGATGGACCAAATCTGTTTGCTGTAATTTTTTAGGACCTTTGGAAATACTGCAGAGCAGCACAGGGGCACAAGATCAGTTTTGAGGCCAATCAGGAACTTTACAAAGGCTCTAGAAAGAGACAAAAGCTCTGGGATTAAAAGCCTTCCCACTACTTCTCACCAGCACTGCTTTAGACCCAGTTTCATAACAGCTCCTCCACTGACCTCTACCATTTTCTTGGACTGCCTTAATTCCTCTTGCACTCTCTGCTGATCTGCCAGAATCTGGCGGTTGTTCTCGCTCAGGTCATCCACTCTCATGTTCAGCCTCTCCACCTCCAGCTCGTTGGCACTGATGGTGTCATTGGCCCTCTCCAGCTTGCCGGCTAAGTGCTGGATTTCCGAGCGGCTGGCCAGCTCCACCGAGTCCAGGATCTGCTTCCGATTGGCAAGCTGGGTCTGCCAACAGCAATCCGTGGGCATTAAAGGTAAGTCACAGAAAACACAGTGTATCAAACCACATTCAACACAACTACTGATTTCTGAGTGTGCTGAGCCACATTCTAAAGTACACAACGTGACCTTCCAGGGAAGCAGGGAAAGCATTGCTGCAGGGTTACACCGTGGGTATCACTTCTGAAGGCAAACAGAATGAAAATAAGAAAATGAAAAAAGAAGGGGCCCTCTGATTCCAAAAGGGGTTCAAAGAGAATCTGAGAAATGAGGCTCTCAAAGCACTCCAGCTGCCCGAGTATGAACTAAGAACAAAGCCACCTGCTGGTTTTGGCTCATGAACCCAAGGCTAGACCAGGACAAACGGCTGCAGGTGAGAAGGTTTGTAAGTACCAAGCACAAACCAGAGATTACCCAACTGTTAATCCCTGTTAATTCCACACCAGGACAGAAAGCAGCTCTGGGTGCACAATGGAAAACCCACAACCACCAAACAGCCCCAAAACCAAACTGGGTAACAGCCAATTTGCTCTGCTCTCTGCACTAAATACGTGGTTCCAGCAGCCTGGGAGAATGCTCACTTTGAATGTTTCATTGTTTTAATGTAGACAAAAAAGTTACAAGGAACCTATGACTAGCAGACAATACATGCTCTATTATTTATAGGCACAGTACCTTATTTCATAGCATTTATTTCCACACAGCTAGCTGGTGAAATTTAACAAGCCAGCTCTCACATAAGCTTCTACGAACATTCATTTCATATATTCCCTTTTCATATAGAACCTTTGAATTTTTAAAGGCTGAGACAAAATATTTGAGTAGTCTTATACTCCCAATTTCTAAGAGTAGCAATTCCTGCCAGCTTGAGAATCACCACGTACCTTGATTTATTGCCTGGCACATAATGCCTCATAACTAAGAATGCTATAGGAACTGTGCATTTGCAAGACTATGGTATAATTTTGATTACAGCCTTTCATTATTATTTGAATAGTCATGACAGAAAAGGTAATCAGGAGGGGCAAGAGTAAAGCACAGCCTTTCTTCACCCGAGAAACCAGAGTACCAGACTGCCTGAATATTTATTTCTGCATTAAGAAAACATTTAAGCTGTCTCTCATTTTCATCCACAGAACATGCAGGCCAGCACAGAATTCCAGGTTTCACCTGCTGACTTTAAAGGCTGCAGGTGTTCCAGAAGGTGCTCTGAACTGCAGAAGAATGCCAGGCTTCCCTAAGCTGCTCTGCAAGGGATGAGGGGAAGCCAGATGAAAGGAGAGAGGGGAAGTACTCCATGGTCATGGATCTCAGCATGACTTTGTGCCAGCAAGACAACCAAGCACACAAAACACACAGAAACATCAAAGGCAAAACTGTAGCCCTTCCATGCTGGGCTTTTCAAAGCAGTTGAGGATCCAGGCAGTCTGTTCACAGTACCTAAGTCACCTACGCCGCTTCGGGAAAACCTCCCCAAATTCCTGGTTTTCTGCTGCACCATAGGAAGAGCAACTCTGAGCCCCAGCGTCCCAGCCTGTGCTCCAAGGACACATCTGTGCTCAGACAATTGAGCCATCAGCGACACACAGACAGCAGAGCAGCGAGACCTTCTGCTCAAGGACTCTCTCTGCATTTGCAGATCTACTGGTGTCAGCCTCTCACAAAGGCCCTGTCAGAGCCAGCTCCAGTCCTGTCATCACAGACTCCCTCCTTGCAGGAGCTTCCACTCAAGAGCAACTCAGGAGCCCATTAAGTGCAAAGTCCCCAGCAAGAGCTTCTTATCAGTGTCTGCTGTGATTGTGTCAGTGTGACTTCACAGCTGTGCTCTAGGTCAATTCATCTCGCTCTGCTGCAGCACCATTACCTCCCTGAGCCATCAGCTTTGCGGGAACAGCAGCCTTGCCTTAGGAGACTGCTAGAAAAAAAAAGGAGGGGGGGCTGAAAAATGCTGTTAGTTCAGTACTTTGTTAAAGCCTCTGTTGTAGGGAAAGAATATTTTCCAACAGCACCCTCTGAGCTGGACCCACAAGGTACATATTTAGCTGCTGGCAGGTACACAGCTTTCAACTAGATAACATGATGTAACAGCTATTTTAAAGTGTCATATGCTGTGGTCTCTGCCTCCCAGGGAAAGATGCATCCTACTGTCTTCTCTGCTAACCAGAGGGGTGTCAGGGAGAGCTGCACAAGGTTTATCTAATCTCTGCTGACAGACTCCAGATCTTTTTTCCATACAGCACTTGTACAAGTAAACCCTATTCCACTGGGACATTAAAAGTCACTTCAATGGCAACCTGAACTGGATGGAAGCCTGGGAGATTTCATCAGCCTCTCCCTCCTCCCCCTCCCTCCCTCCCACCCGCTGGCACAAACAAAACAGAAACTTTGGGCACGTTAATTGTACCTGCACGAGCTCGGAGTGCTCTGCCAGAGCCTTGCGCTGAGCCTCCAGCGATGCCACCTGCTGCTGGTACCGCAGGCGCTGCTTCTCCCACTCCAGCGATTTCTGTCGGAACTCCTGCAAGGACAGCAGGGGCAGCACATCCCCTCCCAGTTCACATCCACATTTGCCTTCTCTCCCACCGTATCCTCACACACCTTTCCCCACAGCAGGGAAACCATTAGCCAGTCACCTGATGCACCGGCTCAGCAGCACAGAACCCTCACACACTGTGCTCGCTGCATTCCCTCCCCTCCCGAGGTGAAACGTCAGTGTCAATTATTGCTGTTTACAAATGTTAAGTGCCAAGACATCCATGGCTGGTTTCATGGGTTTGCTGTCAGGGGTTTAACAACTCAGACTGGCATCAGCTTCCAGAACATGCTGCTATTGAAATCACTAAGATGACAAGAATGAAGCGCAGAATTTGAATGTTAATCTTTGCCCCAGAAACTGGGCACTGTGTCAGGCAGGTGTGTGTGTGTTACCACATCTTTGGGGTACAGGAGGAGAAAACTGAGTGGGGTTGAGCTCAGCAGAGCAGAAAGATTAAAAGACGAGACAGGGTTGAGAAGAAGTTTGACATGTAGCTCCCTCCTCCTAAAAAAAAGTGAGAATACAACCTCCCCACACTGGAACTCATTCCATTCACATAATTTATTATTCTTTCAGCACCTTCTTCCTTTCATTTAGTCTAAGAACAACATCAAGGTTTATCCCGTGTACTCAGAGGCTCCAGTGCAGGAAATTGCCTTTCTTACAGAAGCAGTTGAGAAAAGCTACACCTGGAGAGTTGATGAAGAGTACTCCTTAAACAGGATTCACAGTCCTCTTCCTAGTTGACAACTCAGTCACCAGTAAGTCAGTTAATACATACAAACTGGTCAGCACTTTCTTTTTCATCACATACCTCCACCTTCCTGGTCAGTCTGCTCAATTCAAACTCATCTCCTTCTTGTCCCTTGTTAGCATCTCCTCTGCCTCCTCTTGCTTTTTTCCTCTGCAGCTTCTCATAGCTCCTCCTCAGCCGGGACAACTGCGAGGAGACAGTGAAGAGAGACAGCTTTGCTCAAGGCCCCAAGGCAGAAATTACAGAGCCCTTAGAGAGAAGGCACACAGAACGGTTCACACAAACAATCCCCTCATCAAGGCCACCCAGCTCACAAGTGAAGGCTTCCATTGGGATAATGAGCCTATTATACCAACAGCATTGCAAAACAGGCCGAGCTGTGTGAGAGGAGCAAGATGCCACTGAAGTCGTGACATCGGCAGCTTTAATTAAACCTCCGTCTTACCACGATTAAAACATGACTGAAATGATAAGATGGAGGTTAACACGTAGCTGTCAATGCAGCAAGAGCACATCCCTCTCTCTACAGGTGGCTCCCAGCACAGGAAGAGCCGGCAGGACCTGTGGCTGATCTCCTCCCCCAGAGGAGCACACCCACCACACCACACACAGCGAGGGACTCCTGGGTGGTTAAAATACACTTGTGCAGCACAGGTGGGAACTGGAACTCTCCCACTTACTGGGAGAAGGAAGATTTGAGAATTGCCATTACCCATAATAACAACACCACTTCATCTGTCATTTTCTGCTTAGATACACTGTGTATTTCACAATGAGAGGAGAATGCCAACAGAAAATATCACTCCTACGCCCGCTGCTAGGATGCTGGAGTCATATCAGGAGCAGGAATGGGGAAAAAACTCTTGACATTTAAATGACCCTCTGTGCAAATAATCACTTGCAACTGGAAGAGAGTTTTCCATCTGATGATCTCCCCTCTACTCAACTATTAAATAAAAAGTTTCCAAATAGCCACAGGAATCTGAGAAGGCATCATTCCCATTTTACTGATGGAGAAAGCTACACCCATGGATGAACAGAAGGACCATGAGAAGAATAAATATTTGATTCAAGACATAATGCATTCAGTACTTTGGTGTGTTCAACAGGAACAGACAGATGTACAGGCTTAGAGTTAATACCAACATCTTCTGCCAAACACATCAGGAGATAAGAGGTTTATTCTTTCTACAGTCTCAGTGAGTTAGACACTGTACCTGTAATTGCACTGGAAATGGTGGTAAACAGAGACAGAAATAATTTCCCCAAACAGTACTAAGAACAGAAGACTGAGGAATATTGGAGCTCAACGTCATCAGCATTAATACTGTGTGGGTAAAACACCCACACACTGCAATTTAGGCCACAACACACTCTGTATTTCAGCCTTAGCAATTTAGGCAGAGCTGCCAATGTACCTTAGCTTTGCTTTGCAGCCTATGCACAATTCCAGTGGGAGCAGCCAGTGAATGAAGACTGTTAGTCATATGGAACAGTGAGGTGTTTTAAATGAGGACAGATGCCTTCTGTCGTCAGAGCAGAGACTACCAAATTAATTTCACTTATGGCTCAGAGTAAGCAGGAACCAGGCCCAACCCTCCAGAGAAAACAGGGCAGTGCTCTCCGAGCTGCTCAGGCCAGTTAACTCCCTGCCACTGGCAAGCAAGTGGAGACAGGCAAAGAGTTCAGCCCTAAACCTGGAATGCTGTTACACCACCCGCAGCACAGGTACCACCTCGTGGTGAGCAGGAGCTGAAAGCTCTAAAACTATTGTCAAACAGTACTTTCTGAGTATACTTAGTTTTTATTATGTGTATTAAGACTAATATGCCTTGAGAGGACAAAATACTTACCAACATCATCAGAGTCAACGGAGGCAAAAAGATGAGACTACATACCACTGTTATTTCTTGATCTCACACAAGCCAGGCAGTTACACCTCCACCCTTTCTGAATTTCAGAAATGCTGAAAGAGCAAACTGCTGCTGCCTTGTACCCATAGCAACTCCAGAACCAGCACTGTGGTGACTGGGATGGGCAGACACAGGTCATTTTTGCAGTAAACTTCTGCAGATCTCCAGCACATGAAAACATCTACTCCACATTTCTACTCCAGCAGTTCTCTGTTTGTCACCAAGTTCCTCCGAAGCACAAACAACTGGCCAAGTGAACCATAAAAACGTCGCTTTGTCTACATTCAATGCTCTTTTTTGCAAGCACATAAACACTAAGAGAATGGGGAGGTTTAAAACCACAGCATTTAAACAAAAGCCATGATGCAAAGTATTTCACCTGTTGCATTGTACATCAAGTGAGAACTAAAAACCAAACCTCTCTTTCTGCAACTCACCTCCTCTTGGAACGTCTTCAGCTGTTGTTCATACTCTCTAGCCATGTCCTGCTTGGATTTTTCCACCTCTTCGACCTGGCGCCTCAACAGGCCAACCTGAAGTAAGAGTTAAAAAGCAAATAAATACAGCAGTACAAGTAGACTTTAGGTTAGTAAGTACTAGGACGTTTCAATGGGGTCCCTCACCATGCATCACATTAAATCTATGCCTAAATCTTTGGTAGGCTGGGGCCAGAACTGCTTCAGTTCTGGCCTCTTTTTTTGAGCCAGTTTCTGGCTTTCATTTTTGGTGGTGAAGCTGACAGGTTTGGCCTGTGCCAAAAAGGCTACTTCTATCACTATCTTCATCAAATTCTTCACAAATATGCATTATGATTTCAAGCTACCTACCAAGAGAAAGTCTGGCCCTGTAATTATCTTACTATGCTCAGGTAAAAAAGAAATTCCAAATGATGAGGGAGAATGAAATAATTGGGGTTTTGAAATGCAGAGAAGACTTCCCTTACACTGATTCCACTGCTCCTGTGACTCAGTTTTGTCCTTTTTTTTTCCCAGGGTACCCACCTTTCTAACTGCAGGTCCAAAGGACAAAGTGAAATTAAAAGAAATCCCCACAGAAAACTCACATGACTAAACCAAAAGCATGAATATACTCCAGTAGTGACTTTAACCATACTTTACAGTTCAGTCTTGAAATCCATGTTCACTTTTTCGGGGTAAGAAATATTTCAAGTGTCTTGAGAAAACACAATTGATAATAACAATGATAATCTATACGATAAAAATCACCATTCCTGCAAATGAAAATCCTGTGGCTCAACTGCAGTTGATGGCCCACATCTTGTGCAAAAATTTCACTTACTGATACTTCTCCACCAATACAGAAATTTTTTGCAATTCCCCCAGGCCTTTAATTACAGAGCACAAAACTGAGCTGCATAAAACAGCTCTTGGAGAATCTCCCAGCGATATCTTAGTGTAGTTTACGGTAGGAAATTGGGTTTTTTTGCTACCAATGACTGCAGGTTGCTGGGCTGTCCATTACTGCTGCAGCCAGATCCAGCATCTCTGGGTTCTCTCTAGAAACTGAGAATTCAATCTGTGAATTCCACCAACCCTTGAGGAGTTGATCACTTGACTTTGACGGAATTATGAATTGGACGCCTTGTTCCAGCAAGCCCCTCTGTAAATTCTATTCCTGATTTCCTGATTCTAACAGGTAAAACACACTGGTTGTCTCCAAACAGAAAACAGTATGAAATGGAGGTACCTCCTTCTGTTTTTCCTGCAGAGCAGCCCTGGCAGAGGAAAGCTCCTGCTCCCGAGCACTCAGGCAAGCTTCCAAAGCCTGTGTCTGCCCTTCCCACTCGGATTTCTTGTGAGCCACCATGATGTCGATCTGCTTCATCAGCTCCTGCAGCTCGGCCTCGCAGGAGGTCAGGAACCCGCCGCTGCAAGGGAAGGAGCCTGGAAGTAAGAGCAGCATCACCCAACATGGGTCTCGTGTCCCAAACCAACAAAGGCAGAGAACACACTGACTTGCACCAAGGCACCAACCGTGCACACGCAGGGCTCTGAATGCTTTGCAAATCAGCTTGCAGAGAAACAGAATCACGGAATCATTAGGGTTGGAAAAGACCTCCAAGACCATCCAGTGCAACCTTTGGCCCAATACCACCCGTGCCCACTAAGCCACATCACTTGGGCATTCGTCCCTTTGCCCCAGGACTATGCATTATCTAAGTAAACCAAAGCATGTTTAATTCATATTCTGTATTTGCCTTAATTGCTCTCCAGGCAGAGGCATTTTAGACCAAGCTTCAGTCACCAGAGGAATCTTACAGCCGAGCTTTCAGCTCCTGAAAACAGAAGTTTATCACAAATGCAGACAAACCTCGAAGCAGAGGGGGCTGGATGACAACATGATAATGAAGAATCCAACCCTCGCAATCCATCAGGGAGCACATGTGCCCTAGCAACGCCCAGACTTCTAATTTGGTGCAGTAATTATTGAAGCCAATTCCAGTAACTCCTCTAAAACTTCCCAAGCTGCTAAGCCAGGGACAATATTAAGGCTTGCCAGACACAGCTCTAGAGGGTGGTGAACTCCATAATGATCTTTACCCCTTTAATTTGCCTGTCAAACAGGGAGAACTGAAAAGAAATGGAAATCAATAGGTTAAGGGATAGAAATTTCTCTGCTCTCCCTGTGCGTGTGCACACTGCAACACTTGGCAGTTTTTCTATAGGGAAAGAAATACTTCTTAAAGGAGCCAAAATCAGTCACATTTGAAGCTCACCCTGTCCTGTGAGTTAACAAAAAATTAGCAGCTATTATGCAGAGCAGGAACATTTCCTTCACAGCATCTGCTAACATGTAGCTAAGTCTAAACTTGGTTTTTGCAACCAGTTCTCTGAAGAAGATACAGTATCAAATAAATCTGAGTCACATTCTCAAGGATGACTGGGAAAACAGCATCAGTGACTTTTGCTTCACGCTTGTTTAACACAGAAAACATTTTGTTCCATTATTGTCACTACAGTCTCTCTCGGGGATCCAAAAGTCTACATACTTTCACCTCAGACAGAGCATTAAGGATTCCTCAGAGCTGAATGGGACTCTGCAGTCTCAACATGAGCAGGAAATAATCAGATGTTTTCAATAAAAACAGATAACAAAGTCACATCTCATTAACCTTGCATGGCTGCCACAAAATAAATATTTATTCACAAGAAGGGTTTAAAACAATCAGAAAAAAAAAACCAAGGTGGAAGGTTTTCAGGAAGATGTAAAACTAAATTGCTAACATAATACCTGTCCAGGGCTTATTGCAAAGCCAGCTCAGGCAGTGACTTTGCTTCTGCACCTGGTGAAGGCCACTGCACACTGATACCTGAGGATTTATTCTGAATAGGAGGGAAGGTTAATACTTAAATCCTTTTGAATGACTGCTGTGTACAGTTGCATACACACCTCCCCTGCTCATTTCTCTGCATTCCTTCCAGTAAAGCCTCCATCATCAAATCCTAGTGGCTTCAGCAGCTAGGGAAGCACAGGAAAGCAGTGGTCACCCATGGCAATGCACGAACAAGGCTGCTTCTCCACCCAGCTGCAGAAAAAGCAGAAGTCCACAAAGCAAAGAAGTTAAAAAAATTACAATGAGCATGCAGTTACAGGTGAGGAAAACAATGGTCACCTTCACAAACTTGTAAGCCAAATATCTGCCAAATAAAGGAACTCCTTAAAAATTCCTCTTGAGTTATGTCTTACATTATGAAAATAAGTTGAACAGCTTAACAGTAGCAGTACATTGTTTTAGTTAAAAATCACACCTTTTAAGTCACAAAAACATGTATGTGTGCATACACATAGAAAATTCACATATTAGTGAAGCAAGAAGGGTTCACTTTAATGTGAAGGCAAAAACAGGGAATAAAAAGTTACCATGGAACCAGAAATGGAGTCAGAAAGCCAGAATTTATTTCAGTGGCTCCTCCATGAAACTACAGCTCTCTAGCACAAAAATGGTTAAACTCATCCTGAGGACACAAACTTTGGTTTCACCCTGTGGAGGTATTAACAACATCTCTTTCCAAAACCTATGCACTGTCTCAAGTATTGGAGATGGATCCTTCCAACATCTTCCTCAAAGATTAATATGGCATCATTTAGCAATCAACAAAAGGGGAGGAGGTCACAGCAAGGGAGACTTTAGAAATGCAGGCTCAGCTCTGCTTTCACTTCCCTGAGAAGCTTCTATCCTCTTCTAGAGCACTTCAAACACCATCCAGGGATTAAAGCCTGTCCTTGGGAGTTCTGCTGTGTTTTAAATCACACTCACACAGAAAATATACAGGAAAAAAATCCTATCCCTATTCTGATAGTGTTTTGTCTCTCTTTGGTCCTCTCTGTGCTTAACAAAACTCCATCAGTATGCACAACACCTTCGTGGTACTGCTGAGGGCAGGGTGCTGAGGAGAGCAGATGAGCACATCCCCTGAGCTGCTGACAGCATTCCAAGAGTTCTCCAGGTGGTAACAGCAGACATCAAGCAGTAGCAGCTCTTCTCTACCATTCTAATCACACCTACACAGAATCAATTTTCAGTGGGCAGAGACATGAGGAGAGAGACAGCACAGAATTCTAGAACAGTTTGGGTTGGAAGGGACCTTAAAAATCATCTTATTCCATTCCCTGCCATGGGCAGGGATATCTTCCACTAGACCAGGTGGCTCCAAGCCCCATCCAACCTGGCCTTGAACAATTCCAGGGATGGAGCAACCACAGCTTCTCTGGGCAACCTGTGCCAGGGCCTCAGTACCCTCAAAAGGAAAAATTCCTTCCTAATATCCAATCTAGCCCTGTCCTACCACGACATGCCCTTGCTTCTGTCATCCTTTAAGCAGGGCCCCCACAGTACACCTGAATCTGCCAGCTTTGCATACCTGCCACCTCACCCAGGGTTTGGGGGAAAGCCTTAAAATCAGACATCTCTCTACCCTGGTTTATGCTTCATCAGGTTCATTGTTTAGTATTAAATTTTGGCCTCTCGAGCTTGCAAGTCACATAGTGCCAGGGTAGAGGCCCAGAGAAGTTGCCTTTAGTCACAGCAAATCACAAGCACCTGAAGTAAAGACCCCCGGTTACCACAAGAGAGGACAATCTCCCTCATTAACTACAGCTGAAGCAAGGACAGCTAGCTGGTCTCTTCTGAAAAAGTGAAGAAAATGGAAATATTTAGAAAAAACACAAACCAACAAACAAAAAAAAACCAAAAACGTTTAAAAATAAACAAGGTTTATCATCCCAACTCGACAGAGAACTGTTGTAGAGTCAAGTGGAGAAAACCAGATAATACACAAGACTTAAGAATAGTGCCCATAAAAAAAGGCAGGGAATACTTTGTATTTAAAAACATAGAAAGATGCAATTTCGAAGTGTTGCTGGAAATATGCTTACAATGAACAGAAAAGCAGCAATAACCTCCCAAAAGCACCGCCACAGACATGCCAGTGGCCGGAATGCCACCTGCGGCAGGAGCCCGGTGCAAACCACCCGTCGCCGGGGGAAGAATCACAGAATCAGGTTGGAAAAGACCTCCAGGATCGTCGAGTCCAAGCTATGACCGAACATCACTTTGTCACCCAGCCCAGAGCACCGAGTGACACGTCCAGTCCTTCCCTGGACACGTCCAGGGGTGGGGACTCCTCCACCTCCCCGGGCAGCCCCTTCCAGTGCTGGACAGCCCTTTCCGTGAAGAATTTCTTCCCAATGCCCGACCTCAACCTCGCCTGGCGCAGCTAAAGCCTGTGAGGTGACTGCAGGAGTGGCCGCGGGCAGTGCCGCCGGCCCCGGCAGAGCATTCCCTGTTCCCGCTGCGCTCCCGCTCCTCCCCGGCAGGAGCCTCCCCGCTCTCCGCCCATTCACGGTGTTTACCCCGCACCCGCCGCGGCAAGTTTCGCTGCCCGGGGCCCTTCCAGCGCCGCTCCCCTCGCCTCCCTCCCCGCAGACACCCCGCACTCGCCGGCCTCCTCTCCCTTCCTCCCCTCCCTTTCCTCCCTCCTTCCCCTCTCCCGCCTTTCCCCACCTAACGGCGGGCCCGGCCCGGCCCGGCCCGGCAGCGCTGCGCCTGCGCGGGAGCCGCGCCTGCGCACGGCAGGGCCCGGCCAGGGCAGGGTACGGCGGGCAGGGGACAGTGCGGGGACATGGGGGGACACCGCAGGGAATACCGGGGGCACACACGGGGGGTAGATGGGAGGGCACGGGGGGGACGCCGGGAGGGGACACTGGGGGACACTAAGGGGGCTACCGGGGCGATCATGGGGTTAGGGTCTGCGGGGAGGGACACTGGGGGAGGCACCACGGGGGACACTGCGGGGGAATATTCGGGGGGTACCGAGGGGACCGCGGGGGGACACCGGGAGAACATTGCGGGGACATTCGGGGCGGTACTGAAGGTACGACGGAGGGGACACCGGAGAGGGACACAGTGGGGATACGGGGCGCACGGGGCTGTCGGCCGGGAGCAGCGCGGATCGCACGGCCCCGGGGCTGGGACCGCTCAGCCCGGTGCCCATCGCCGCCCCCGTGCAGCGGGGTGTATTTAAATAAATACCGGTAGTCACCTGCCCTGGTCTGGTGTAAAATAAATACCTGTAGTCACCTACCCCGGCACGATCGAGCCGCAGGGTCACACCGGGGCGAGTCCCTGACGTGACACTTCAGGGAGGGCAGAGTGCAGTGAGACACCCCGGAGGGATTCTTGTAGCTGGGGGTGAAAGACAGGTCTTGTTTTTCTTCTGTTTCACCATTTTCCTGGACTTCAGGTTCGGGCAGGATTCTGGGTGCCCTGAAATCCTTTGTTGTGACTGTCCCAGACTCGTGAAGCCCTGGGTGAGGCACAGCACTGCTCAGGGCAGCAAAGGGCTCTTGGTAGAGTTACAGGGGTGCTCAAACTCACTCAAAGTAGGCTTCTAAAAGTCAGTCAGTAGATATAAACACATGTAAATATCATTAATAAAAACCTGCTGGTTTTATATATTCGTCTCTGATGCATATCAATCAGCAAATCACTTTAATAGTGTTCTTTTCAGGTGAAGTAGTTCTCCTGTGGTTATAACCCCTTTTTGAGTGGATTAGGAAAATCAAGTTTAATCTTAACAGGAATTAGATCCAAACCAGAGCAAGCCCAGAGTCCGAACTGCAGCTCCTTGGCTGGGGATGTTGTTGGGAACAGCATCTGCTTTGTGTCACAGGTTTAGCTGCACTCACCTGCTGTGAGGATGGACAGCGAGGTGCAGAGGGACGGCAGGATCCTGGATTTGATCGATGACGCGTGGAGGGAAGATAAATTGCCGTACGAGGACGTGGCCATCCCTCTGGTAGGTGAATTGCTACTTATCAATCTGAGTTAAGGCTGCTGTGTTTATCTCAGCCCATTCCAAGAAACAGCACAGAGTATTGCCTGTGGTGCAGCTGATTTGTACAAAGGGCTCCTGGGATGGATCTGACTCTTTCCTTGCCCTATATGCCAGTCACTCCTGTGTGCATGAGGACTTGGATGTTTCTGTCCCCCTTCCCCTGACCAGTTATTGAATCCTCTCAGAACTGGAGTGCCCTCCCCTTCACACTGTTTTGGGTTTGGCATCAGGGAGAAGTTCTGGTTTGGAGAACAGAGATGATCAGTCTCACGCTGACAGTCGCAGTCTTGGTTACACTTTATTTCCACTTCCTGAAATTCCATTAAAAGAAGCTGAAAAATTTTCATACCTGTTTCCAGTCAGTCTTTTCCAGATCCAGCATTGCTGTTGCCAGTTCAAGGACAGCAGTGAATGCACTGGCACCTGCAGTGCCATGTCCAAGGCATGGCAGCTGTCCTTTCATCCAGGGCACGGGTGCAGGGTGGGAGAGGGGCAGCGGGGGAAAAGCTACTGCTGATCCCACAAAGCCCAGAGTTGAAGCTTCAGATCTCCCACTCTGAAACCTTTCCTTAGCTACTTTGAAACTTCCAGGGAAGCGGGAGGTAGCTGAGGATTTTCCCTTTCCTTGTTCTCTCTGGTGCACAAGCTTTACCCTGGCTAGCACTGACAAGGCAGTTGTGGGGATCACGAGGTGTTGGTCTCCTTCAGCATAGAGACATTTCCAAATTGTGATGTGGCTCAAGCTTTAGCCCTTCCACCACTGGCTTTTCAGAGAGGACAAGGAGCAGCTGCACAACTCCAAAATCCATATATACAGCACACGTTTTCCTGCCAAGAGCTGGGTTTGAGGGAAGGATCTTGCAGAAGTGTAATTGTCAGATAAAAGAGCCCAAACCCCCTATTGCTTGGGATAACATTTATAAGGCAGGCTGAGTATTATAAACTGGTTCCTTACTGACATTTGCCTTTACCTTGAGTCCAAACATTACTGTTTCTTCCCTTACAGCCACCTCTTGGGCTGCTTACAGTCACATACAGATGGCAGCCCCAGAGCAGGAAGCCTCACCAACTAACAATAGAAAGAAAGGCCTAGCTGTGGATATAGAGATTCCCAGAGATGAGATTGCCTCTTATCACATGGGAAAAGGAGCACGAATTCACAGGAGACTTGCTCAGGAGCACTGTAAAGGAGCAAACAGAATGGCTGTGAAGTGCTCTTTGAGCCTGTCCTGAGCATTTGCTCCAGTGCTCACTTGAGAGATTCCCGGGAACTCAGATGGGCTCGAATCATACAGTGTTTTCAAAACTGAAATGTTTTAGTTAGCTCATGCTGGGATTTCCAGAGATCTAGAACTCAGAATTCCTGCCCAAATGGTATCTGGCAGAATAGCACTCACTCGGTGTGACTGCAGCAGTACAGCAACACAGAGAACAAATAAAAGAAGGGAGTTCTGACTTATCCTGTTGATCCAGCACAGCCACACCTGAGTCCAGCACGTAGAGAGGAAGGATTTCTCACCTGCCACGGGAATGAAACGTGTTACAGAACCAGTTGTCTTAATAACAGCTATAATAACTGCAGTATCTGTATTCTTGCCAACAGCAGAAGCAGCACATTGCAAACAAGTAATGGAATAATTGCATTGCACTGTTATTTACTTACTTTGCATTTGCTATATATTCTCCTTTGCTGTGTGTGCAGTCTGAGTGTATAGCAAGGCCCCAGGGTCCTGGAAAACCAATTTACCTTTCAGATTAAGCACCATATTCATGTGAAAAGAATGTTGTTCATAACAGGGCCCAATAATATTTTTAAGTGGATCAGTATGTATGATATTTATTGTTCAGATGCACCCTCTGGTCTCGTTTCTATTTATCCATACAAAGCCTTAACAACCTGCTGCTTTCAGGAAGTCTATTTTGTGTGGAATGCATTGTACCTCTATTTTGTTCTCAGAATGAGCTCCCTGAACCAGAGCAAGACAACGGTGGCACCACCGAGTCTGTGAAAGAGCAAGAAATGAAGTGGACAGATTTGGCTCTCCAGTATCTCCATGAAAACGTTCCACCCACGGGAAACTAGCGAATCAGTGAGATTTCATGCAGCAGATGCATGAATGCCACATGAAAATATTTTTCAGCTGACCACTGTTGTCAGAAGCCGCTCTAAGGAAGAAACAGCATTCCTGAAACATTTGGATTCCAGCAGTGGTTCTGCTCACAGCAACCAGTTCAAAATGCTTCTGTAATGAGTGTGAAATAGCAGAGGCTCTCTGACACCCAGAGCTAAGAGCAGAATGTTTCACTTATTTATTTCATTTTTTCTGTTAAATTTTTCTTAAGTTGGTGCCAATTCTGATCTTCAGTGTTTTCTACACATGATTAAAAAGCAGTTTTTACTGTCTCGAGTTGTTAGTGATTTCAAAGCTCACAGTGGGATCATTGTCTAGAGTTCAGTGTAGAAACCCAAATAGCTGTGAGCTGTTACCATCTTCCACTAGTGTGTGGCTGGAAGGATGTGTGGGGCAGGTGTGAAAGGTTGGTCAGCAGATCCAAGAGCTGGAAGTAACCTGTAAACACAGGTGGTTACTTGAACTCCTCATCTCAGGATCTGATGGTGGAGGTGGAGAGCATTTCCAGTGCTGACCTCCTGGGAATGTTTGCCAACACACACACCATGAACAGACAGTCTAATTTATGCTAAAATGGTGGTTACTCAAAATCATGGTCTTTAGAGGGATGGTTGAGAGTTCCAAGGAAGAGCCTGCCAGTCCCAGGGTATTGCCAGTCCCAACCTATTGAAATGAGAGGCACTCGAATGAGCTACCTCAGAAGGGAAATGGAAATCCAAGGAAAGAAACAAGTAGAGCTTAGCTTCAGGCAATAAGTTGTTACCTCTTTTTGTGCTGAGAAGAAAGGCAAGGCCCTCTTGATTTATCCCATTTTATCTCTGATTCGCAGATGTCCTTTGCAACAGGTAAAAGCCTTCTGTTCATCTTCGTGTTTCACTGTTGGACTGATTCTGTCTCACCATTGGCAGAACTTCTTGCTAAGGAGAAAATATTTTGACAGAGTTTAGGATTACTGGTGGGGGTGAGAAAGGAACTGGAAGGAAAACAATGTTTAAATTATATTCTTTTGCCAGTGCAGCAGAAAAAGCACTGTCCTGGACTTCCAGACTCCACAGAAGTTTTTGAGTGTCTTTTCTCAATGTTTATCCTCTCCAAAATAACAAACCCCAGCTTTTGCCTGGGTGATCCGTGCCTGCACCAGACAAGCAGCACACACTTGTCTGAACAAGAAGGAGCTGCAGACAGGCAGCAGGAAGAGTTAAGGATTAACCCAAGAATTAGCAAAGTCAAAAAGCTTAGTTTGCCCAGCATGGACCAAAGAACCAGCTATGCAGCTGGGAGCTGTAATAGCTCAGCTCCTCGTTGGATCATCACCGGGAGGAAAAAGCAGAGCCTGTGCTTAATGAGGGAGTTCTGATCCTCCCCAGGTTCCCTTTCCCTTGCCTACAGTTAGAAGAATTTGCTAAGAAAACGTCAGGCAAAGCTACCACCCAATTTCTATCCAGCAGCCATCCCTGCTCTCTCTTCCCCTCCTCTCTCACCCCTTTTCAAGCTCCCAACCACCCTTTTCTTCCCAATTTTGCCACTATATCTTCCAGCTTCAATTTCAGACTTCCTTTCCTGCCCCTGGCAGTTGTCTTTGCTTAGCTATCTTCTTCCTCCCATCCGTCAAGGAAAAAAAAGCCTTTCTTACTTGAATTAGAGCTGAATTCATGATGTTCCAGCAGGTCTTTGAGAAAATGTGGTGGGAATGCCAGTTGTATGAGTGTCATCCAAGGCAGCAGATGCTTGGGAGCCCAATGGAGAGCCAGACTGCCCCAGGTACCTTCCCTTTGTCACACGTAGTGCTGTGCACCTGCCTCCTGCCTGAGGGGACAGGGCTTTGTGGGTTAGAAGGGACTCCAGAGAGCAGGAGGAACATGGGAGATTAGGGATCATCATGAACTTTCCAAAGGCAGGGCCCTGGGAAACCAAGCACTGGCCCTGCCCAGATGCTTATCAGACTTGTAGTGACACCTATGATCCTCTTGACATTCTTTGCAAAAGACAAACAGGCAATAATTTCCTTAGTTTCAACACAGTGTAGTCAAATTGCTGCTTACAGCAGCAACCATTTTTGATACCAACCCATTTGTGTCTTTGATTAGTCATCTCCCAGGGCAAACTATGTCTAAATTAAGGAAACCTGTTAGAATAGAAAGTGCCCCACCTTTTTAAGAAGAAGCTTCAGTTGTGTAACTAGAGACTGGTCTTCATTTCTTGGCTGGTAACTTCCTGCTTTCACCACACCTACTGGGACAGGCAGAAAAAAAAAAGGGAGCAAATTGCTGTCAGAGCCAGCAGACACATGGCAAGGAAATTGTGGGATCCTTAAAGTCTCTTACCCATAGAAGCTCCATGTGGAAGTCCATATGCTGAGGCTGTGTGTTGTGTTCATCTACCTTTTGCATGGGGTGAAAACAGGTAAGAAATCAACCATTTGTTTTGAATGTTTTTTGTCAAATATAACACACTGTGCTTTACAGAAACATGACTGTGTCTGCCCTCTGCATTACAGTTACTGTGCAGGGTTTCTCACTAACATTATTTATTTCGGCAAAGCAAACTATACTGGTTACACGGATGGAGTCAGTTCTAAGAGTTCCAAACGTAAAACCAGAAGTATTTTTTTATTATCTTTCCCTCCCTTTGCAAACATTTCTCTTATATAAGTACTATCCATCTGCACTGAAAATGTCATTGGAAATCTTCAGAGAATAATGATTTCTTTTCAGGGGTGTCGTGTACGACAGAGGCGAAGGATGAATTACCATTTATGAACAGTAAGCTCCATTTGATATCCTCACAGCCCTACAAGAATCAACCTGTGTAACAATAAACAAATGTACTGCCTTGTGTTAGCATACACATGGGAGCAAGTCAAGTTACAGCTCTCTGCTTTGTAGGGAAAACAAACAGGGTTAAAAAACACAGTATTCTTATAAATACTAACTTGTATTTCATTGGGTCCTCTGGAGTAATCTCGGGGTCACGTTTTGCTTAGTTTGTTTAATACGCTGTAGGAAATGTACTCACAAGAAGTGGGAAAAAAGAATTATGTGAAAAAGCAGGAGGAAACCAGGGAGCTATTGAGGACCAGTTTAAGAGGTGGAGGGCACACTCTCTGTGGAGAAGTGATGGAAATCTTCAGCAGCACTCCTGAGATTCACGTCATGGTTGTGAAGTCTGCTGAAAGGGGAGAGTTATTGTCGATGGTTAAGAGCAGTCTGTTGAAACACACTGTACAGAGCCCAGGCAAGGTGGCAGAGTGCCAGAGAACCTGCAGACAGACAGAGAAGCACCTCTGTGTCCCAAGGGCCACAGCTGGGACAAGTGACCACTGACCCACTGATGTGAAAAAACTGTTGGAACTTCCCTTTGCAAGAGGACAGATTGGTGGAGGTAAAAAAACTTGGCTGCTGTTCTATTCATGCAGCCAGCTCAGGACCACAGCCCCAACACCACCGTGGCAAACCCTGCCTGTCCATAGGATCAGCATCCAGGACAGATGGAAGAAAAAGCCTCCAAACACCATCTCCAAGAAAGGGATGAGAGACACCAGGGGAATGCAGGCCTTGATAGCACTGCCTGGGACAGTTCTTGTGACCACAATACTCCCACCCAGGAGTATGTAACTTCAGGACATACATATTCAAACTGAAAGAGAGTATGTTTAGATTACATATTTAGAAGAACTTCCCTGTGAGGGTGGGGAGGCCCTGGCACAGGTTGCCCAGAGAAGCTGTGGCCGCCCCTGGATCCCTGGAAGTGTCCAAGGCCAGGTTGAACAGGGCTTGGAGCAACCTGGGCTAGTGGAAGGTGTCCCTGCCCATGGCAGGGGGTGGCACTGAATGGGCTTTAAAGTCCCTTCCAACTCAAACCATTCTATGATTCTATCATGATATATGCTTATATATGTCAGTTCAGAACCGGGTTATTTTGAAGGTGCCTCTCCTGCTGCAATAGCACCTTGGAGGCTGATCTCAAGCTCAAGACCAAAGATGTCCAGCTCCCAGGCAGGGACATGGATTTCACACATTTTTATGCCCCCTGCCCAGCACCTTGCCTTCAGAGCCTTGCCTTCAGAGCACCTTGCCCAGCAGACTAGTGTTTTGCCCCTGTTTTACATATCAGAAAACTGAGCAGGAGAATGTGAATTGCCAGTCTGTCTAGCAAGCTAATGGCCAAGGCAGGGCTGGGGGTGAGCTAATGGCATGCTGGGTTAATTGCCACATTCATTCACCTTTCCTGGAGGGAAAGTTAAGTTAGTTAAGTACAGTGCCAGGGTGTAACTTTCCACCTCACTTACTTCTTTGCAGACTTAATAAGCCACTCACCCCAATCATCTTGGAGTTTCAAAGACACTTGCAGCCATTTGGGTAGGAGTCACTGTGCTCATGGGAAGGAAGAGCAAAGCCAGGATAACTGGCCATCCTGATGTGTCAGGATGAGGCTGAGATGGGCACCATCCTGCCAGAAGAGAAGCTGGCATGTTTTCTCCCCCCTATAATAATATGTATTATAATCCTGATCTGATTTTAATAATCAAACCAGAATCAATTGGTGTCAGGTATCAGCAAATGCTGACCAGCTCTTTGAAAGCTCCTCTATACCAGAAGGTTTAGGCTATTCTGATGGCAAACACAGTGCTCCTCTGGGCAAGTCTCAGCACAGGGCAGGAGACACAGACACAAATTAAGCAATCAGTGCAATCTTGCACCATATAGAAGTAATTCTTGCCTGGCATTTCTGCCTCTATTACTACAGCTCCAGTGGCAGTAAAGATGATTAACAACACCATATAATACTGCTATACAATAACTAAAACAATGCCTAGTTATTAGTAAAACCAAGATAGTTGTATTTTTTTATGCTGCAGTAGCACCTAGAGGACAGTCGCTGAGTCTCACTGTGTGAGCTGGCGTAGATCAGCAGAAATGTGAGCTCTCCTCTGCTTTCCTCTGAGATCTCCACAACAGCAGTGCCACAGGAGAACTCCTGCTGCTCTTTCACTGGAGCTTCCTGGCACTGCAAGAATGGCTGGCCAGGAGACAGCCACCAGGTGACCTTTCCTCTTGGGAGCAGGGCCCAGAGCCACACTGCCCTGGGAGCCCTGGGGGAAGCATTAAGGAGCAGAACACCCCCCATTCAAAGGCTCCTGGTTTCAACCCACATTCAGTGGGCCTGGCTGAGGGCTCATTTCCCACCACTCCTGTCCCACTGTTCATATGGTACCATAGGCTTTATACAGTAAGGACTCCATGGATTTCAGATGTTAAAATTTATGGTAGCAATTTAAAATATTCAGTTGGATTTAACTGCAACATCCTTTTAGCCTATTAACTTTTATTTCTGGAGCTCCTGGGGCTTCTACAGAGTAATTAGCAGAACTATGGCAACTGAGCAGATTGTTTTATGTGCTGGGCACATAGTATTTATATCACTCTCAAGTTCCTGCTTTCCAAAGAGAGAGAAAAGGGAAAGTGGCTCGTAGAAACTGTGAGAGTTTCCTCATAGAGAAGCTAAAATGCACAGAGCATTGGAGATTTGTTTGAGCACAATCAGGTTACAGCTGCAGGTTTTCTAAACTCTTCTACCCACTGCACAGCCTTTTAAGCAACAAAGATCAGGAAGATTCCTCTAGGAATGGCAGCCTGAAAAATTGCTGCAGCCCAGGGTATATGTGTGAGAGAGACACTCTCCCCCACAAGGTTCTTCAATAAGATTAAAAGGATTTGGGGGAAAGGACTGTGAGCCAGGAAGAGGCTACTAAACCTGGGAGGGCCTTCGTAAGCAGCATCTGTCTGGAGACAGTTGTTCCATTCCCTGCCAGTGCCCTGTTGGAGGTTGTACTGTGATCTAAAGGCTCAGATGGTGCTCTGCTGGAAAAGCAGGACACAAAGACAGGCTTTCCAAAGGCACAGACCATCCCATGGAGCAGCACTTACATCCAGTTCAGTTGCTCTTCAGCTGTTTACTCAGCACCACCCGTGACATCCCAGGCAGCCCAAGGGTGCCCATTTTGCAGTCAGGAATATCAGGCTGCATCTGCACACACAAACGAAGCACTGGGCTGCCCCTCACATGGTAAATCCTCTGCAGCTTGGCAGCCCCGGGCTGGAGGTACAAACCAGCCCCGAGGACACCAGTTTACCCTTGAGCCTGTCCAGAGCACCTGGGTGTGCTCTCAAACCAGCACAGCAACCATCCTGGTTATCAGTCACTCCCTCACACTACTGGGATTTTTGGAGAGAGGCCACGCCATCTCCCAGCTGCCTGTGGAAACAGGACTGTGTTGTTTCAGGGAATGCTGCTCCAAAAAGGTGCACTTGCTGTTCCAATATGGCAAGAAAACCCAAGTTCCAAGGTAACCGCAGTCATGAACATGAAGAGAGGAGACAGGAGAGAAGCAGCCCTGGCTCAGACACGTCACAACACACGTCCCTGCCCCTGTGCAGGGCTGGCAGGTGGAAGCAAACGCGCTGGGGCTACACTCCATTTGCCACCCTGTGCTCTTTTCAGATCCCGGGGAGACATGTCCTGCATTCACAGCCCTCGGCTTCGGGAGCGCTTTGATTGGGACAGAGCTGAAGGTGAAGCTGCTGCTCTACACCCAGCAGAACCCAACCTGTGCCAAGGAGCTCCACTCAACAGCCCCCAAGTACCTCAACGTGACCAAGAAAACCACCTTCATCATCCACGGGTACCGATTCACAGGCTCTGCCCCCGTCTGGATCCCCGACCTGGTGCACCTCCTGCTTTCTGCAGAGGACATGAACATCATCCTCGTGGACTGGAACCAGGGGGCAACAACCCTCATCTACAGTTATGCTTCCAGAAAGTGCAAAAGAGTTGCTGAGATTCTGAAGAAATTTATTGATGAAATGCTGGTAAGTTGGACGTTCACACTATGGTATAGTCATTAAGGCACAGTATGTAAAGGGCACAAAGGAAGTGTTTAAAAACAGCAGGATGTCTGGGAATAGAAACTCCTAAAAAGGAATACATTAATTTTTGCAGCTATCCTGCAGTGCCAAGTCGTACCCTTGGACTTGGTACGATGGTATTTTGTTGCAATATTCAGTTTACACTCTAAGTCTCTCCATTTCTGGGTACAAAACTCTACAGACGTGTTTTTCCACACACAGAAACTTTGCTTCCACTTTCTGTATGTCCAAAAACCAATTTAAGGGGATCAGCTACAGTTCACAGTTCCCCTAAGCTGTTGCACAAGCAATGAAGACACTGGATCATTAGGATCATGGTGTCTGCTAATTCCTTGCAGGAACCACATGTGGGGCAACTGGAATTTTACTCCTGGGGCCCATGAATGGTTTCTGGCTCCAGTGCCCCAGGAAAATACAGCCACTGCCTGAACTGTGTTCATCACAGCCTCAGGTATGGGCCTCAAACAGGGATGCTGGCTGCACTGTGGGACTATCAGAGGGGGAATATTTACAGAGTGGAATACACCAAGAGAAAATGTTGGAAAAACAGGGAGACGCCTCTACATTCCTCCTCCTGATATTTTTTATGCCTTTCCTGTGCCTCAAATCTGTGACCACGAGTACTTTTAAATCTCTTTTAGATCAATGGAGCATCCCTTGACTCCATGCACATGATAGGAGTGAGCCTGGGAGCACACATCTCTGGCTTTGTGGGACAGATGTTTGGCGGTGCACTTGGAAGAATCACAGGTGAACCTTCCCCCGTCAGTCCTTTGGCCTCAAGGCCAGCAGGGCACGAGGCAGTCCCACCCACATGGCTTTGTGTTGCAGGCCTGGACCCAGCGGGGCCCTTGTACCGGGGAACCCCCCCCAGTGAGAGGCTGGACCCCACCGACGCACAGTTTGTCGACGTCATTCATTCCGACACCGACGGTACGTGACATTCCAGCTCTGCAGCTCCACGAGGAAACCCAGGCACTGATGGAGCACGGGAAAGCAGGGTGTGGTGGGCAGCAGTGCCAGGACCTTTGCTCCTTTGGCCCAGGACAGCAGACTCCTTCACTGGTGCTGGGAAGGACTCTGGGGTGCTGTGTTGCCCACACTGTCCTCAGCACTCCCTCGGGAGCTGCTGGTTTCTTTGCACTTCAAAACCTGCTGCTGGATTAGAGCAGTTACAGCCTGGTGGCCCATGAATTGCAGGGATTTGGGCCCTATGCAGGAGCTCCTGCAGCACACAATCCTGCCAGAGCAGTTCCACACTAACGTCCCACGCCGGGCTCAGGCTGCATCCCAGCACACAGCACCTCCAAAGCTGGTCCCACAGCTCAGTGCCTTGCACAGCACATCAGTTATCCCCAACCCATGGCTCCCTGCATGATGTTTCCAGTCTCCATCCCACCTCCTCTGAGCTAAACCTTCCTCTATGGTGAATCTGGACTCTCTCTCAGCCCTATCCTTTCCCAGATCCACCAGCCAGGCCAGCCATGTGATGCCAGCCCTCTGCTCTGCTCCCATGGGCAGCCTACTCCTAGCACCTGGCTTTCCCATCTCATTGCTTCTCCCAGCCCTTCCAAGAAGTCAAACTTAGCACCACAGCAATACCCAGGTTTCACATCCCTTTTCCTCTCCTGCACACAGTGATACAAAAACCTAAATTTTGCACCGTTGCACACACAGGCTTATTTTAGGTATTTGATACCATTGCTAAAATGACCCAGCTGGGTCACAACCGCCTGGCCTGCTCCCTAAACAGATGGATGGCATTAATATTCCTGCCCTGATATTTATTCCCTTTTGTCAGGACTAGGTTACAGAGAAGCACTGGGCCACATTGACTTCTACCCCAACGGTGGGACCGACCAGCCGGGCTGTCCACTGACAATATTTTCTGGTAATTAATCCTGCCTTGAACTGCACAAACCCTGACAAAATGTTTCCATTTTCTCCTCAGAAAAGGAGGAGAAAGCCAGAGAAACATCATCACTGCTTAGAAAATACATGAAACCCATATTCTGGGAAAGCCACAGCAGCAACCTCTTCCCAGCACTGATGTGACAGAGGTTTAGCTCATGTGCGTGAGAGCCAGGGTGACCTTTCTGTGCCCCTGTCACAGTGCAAGTGGGATTAATTCTCTGTGCAAAAAGCTATCAGGTAGATTTGTGCCTTTGTTTTGTGACTGCATTCAGAAAACCCGTGGGATTTTTTGTTTTCAATTACTATGAACACACAAAAGCACTGGCAAGAACCTGCCCAGAAAATGGGTTCAAGATGAATGTGGAGCAGGCAGTTAGACCAAATCTTGCACCTTCCTTGGCAGTGACTAACAGTGCAGTCTGGAAGGTAAAGGCCTAGTCTTGAATCAAAGAAAGCTTTTTTTCCTTTCAGCCTGGCATCTGAACTGGTTTGATGAAAGCTGGGTGAAAAAGATACCTCACAGAAGAAAAGGCAGCTTTGTGAACTCAACCCTTATCATACCCGAGAGAATCTACACAGGAAAACAGCCTGAACCAAAAATCCCTAGGATATGAGGCTTCACTCACTTTGCTCCTCATGCAACAACGCATTTTATTAGTTTGGGCTTTCTAAAGAGTTTTTTTTACACCAAAATGGAAGGGCATCTGCAAAACTAACAGCAATATCCAGCTGTCAGGCCTGAGCTCAGAGAGGAGAGGAAAACACCTGAGATGGAACTGGATTCATATCTGGATCCTCTGGAACTGCAGTAGCCATACAAACAAATATGTTTTTAAAACCAAAAAGACAAGAAGAAAAGCAAGCCAGACACAGGCAGAGCTGAGTGCAGTCAAAGGGGGAGATTGGTGCCCACTTACTGTTTTGCCACAGCCCAGTGCAATCCCCTGGGTGCAGACTGGTCAGGACTGTCCACAGCTGTGTCCTGTGGGCATTAATCCTGTTTCCCTGATGAGTGAGGGTTGCTAACAAAATATTTCTTCCCTGTGTATGATTAAGGATTGCAGTATTTTAAATGTGACCACCAGAGGTCTGTTTTCCTGTTCCTGTCCTCCCTGACACGGAGCTGCAACATCACAGCGTATCCCTGCGACTCGTACAGGAATTACAGGAACGGCAAATGTACCAGCTGTGAAACCTTCTGGCCTATGCCATGCCCCATCCTAGGTAAGGATCCAGGGAATGTCAGACCATCCTGAACACAGAGCTTCATGTCATTGCTGTAACTTGTTGTGTGATGTTTTGCTAAAGGACCAACACAACACAGTGCTTTGCAAAATCATCGAAGTTATTTTAGCTGAGGTTTTTGAGGCCTCTCCTTGGCTTCAAAGAGGTCTGAGAAACCTCTCTGTTCTTTGTACCATCACATCACATTGTGATCTGGAACAAAATTCACAGGCAAAGGATCCAGAACTAGAAAAGCCAAAACAAGACTTGGGATCCTTACACTACAGTCACAGAAACAATGAATTAAAGTCCTTTAGTTGCAGGGTTTGAGAGAGAGGGGCATGTTCTTGCTAAAACAGTATTTTCTAGTAAATTCCCAGCACCACAAACATCTCTGTTCTCTAAAAGGAATGGCAGAGGGATGAACAAAAGGGATTCTGGACCCACAGAGGCATCCCAGCCTGGGTGTGACAGCCCAGTGTCAGGCTGCCAGCTCTGGAAGGTTGATGCTAAAACACTTGACACTTCCAGAAAGGAAGTGGCAAAGCCAAGGGGATGATTTGCATTCTGCACTGAATGAAATCCTCCTTGACCATGGATAGCAGGTGTGGAAGAAGATCAGCCTTGAAGTACGTGCTGAACAGTAGCCAGGCATATTTAGTCCTAAATCTGCAGAGTACAGGAGCTTGTGTCACACTGAGACCTGGCAGCTGGCAAACAATACACTATTTCTTAAACACTTGCTTATTTTCAGCCATTTAGTTGCTCATCTACCTGTGCAGTAACTGTGTTTCATTTTCAAACTGTCACCTGCAGGTTATTATGCCCATGAGTGGAAAAGCTATTTAACACAACAGAGCCATCCAGTGACAAGGATGTTTTTCGATACAGCGGACAAAGAGCCATTTTGCAGTAAGTGACTGAGATTTCCGAGATGATTTGTCTTTTTGCATTGCCTCCTTCAGCAGCAGCTGAGCAGAGATGGTTTGGTCATAGCCAGCATTTTAGAAACAACGCCAGTGGCTGCTGGTCAGAACTGTGTCCAGCTGCAGTTTGCCATGACATTCCTTATCTGCAAACCTGCCCCGTGCTGTGAAAGCCAACTTGCTCAGGACTGGTCAGGACTGTCCACAGCTGTGTCCTGTGGGCATTAATCCTGTTTCCCTGATGAGTGAGGGTTGCTAACAAAATATTTCTTCCCTGTGTATGATTAAGGATTGCAGTATTTTAAATGTGACCACCAGAGGTCTGTTTTCCTGTTCCTGTCCTCCCTGACACAGAGCTGCAACATCACAGCGTATCCCTGCGACTCGTACAGGAAACTAGGAAACTGGTTGAGAACTTGCAAATTAAATATAAAAGTTCCCAAACCGAGTTTCAAAGCAACACACCATTCTTTTGTGAAAGGAAGAGGTGTGTGGGAATGGTGGGAGACAAAGAGAGGCTGTGCAGGTGAAAAAGCTACCCCTGGAGAAAAGCAAGAGGTACAGGGAAAGGGGGAGAATTAATGGAAAAAAGGGAGTCACTGAGGTTTCCCCTCCTCCCTGTGATCACCAAAATAGCAAGGTATGGGCAGGGATTATGGCCTGAGCTCCAGAGCTGGTCAGCAAGTGAATTCAGACTTACAGATCAAAGAACTGTGCTCCATAATAGGGATTACAAATGACAGATGCTGAGAACAGAAATGGAGGGGTTCAGAGGGGGACAGGAGAAAGAAAAGAAAAGGAAAGGCAATCTGGAAGTGAAGGGGGAAGGCAGGGTGTTAAAGGGGGTGTGCTTAGAGTCACACAGAGAGGCCATCCTGCATAGATAACCCTTTCTGTAGTGCTTTCCTGACACCTCTTAGTGTTTCTGTTAAAAAACCTCTGCTAAGAGGGATGGAGAGCAGGGAGGAGAAAGGGATTTTGGAGAGAAATTTGAAGGGGTTATGTCCATCCTCCACCTGCAGCTCCACTCCCAGACAGGCACACAGTGGCTCGACAGCAGAGTGAGCCTGCCAGATCTAACCACACTTGTTCTCTCCCTCCCCTCAGTTTATCACTACTTCGTGGATATTATCACATGGAACAAAGACACCAGGAGAGGAACGTTCAGCATCGTACTGGCTGATGAGACTGGGAAGAAGGCAGAATCCAAAGTTAATCCGTAAGTCTTACTGATCTGATAATGTGTAAATGCCAAAGAATCACTTGGTACAACTGCAGCTGGGAGGAGGCGAGACATCCTCCTCCATATCCCTGCTGATACCTGCTGGTGCACATGCCTATGGGATTTCCCAGCCCGATGGAATTCCCACAGCCTCCCCCAGCACACACCACCTGACAGCCCAGCACTGTGATTTGGGCCCTTCTCATTCCTTTTAAGGATGAAGTGGACAATCCCAGCCAGAGGCATAGCTGCCCCTAGGTTTCCACTAAGGCAGAAGGAAAAGCATCTCCCCCTCTTTCCTTCCCCTTCCAGGAGTGTTCTGCTCCAGCTCCCAGTGCCCAAGACAGCTGGGATGAACCTGGGCCTGAATATCTCACATCCAAATCAACTCGTTCTGTTCAGAGAGGCAAATTAATGACTGGTGTTTACGTAACATGCAAATTGATTCATCTAAACACACTTCAGCCAAACAATCCTGCTCAACTAGTTTTCCCAAGTATCTCTAACTGCACATTCCCTCAGCCATATCTGGGATCTGCTTGCAGTGGAGCAATCTGCATCGTTCCTGCACCAAGAGCAGTGCAGATTTCATGCCTGTCTCAAAGTGACTCAGTGTTCAGGTCTGCACGGCCAGCCAGGCACAAACATCACTTGGATCCAGTCCACTCGGGATCAAAGCAGAATCACGGAGAGGATTCTGGTTTGGGACAAACAACATCAGACCTCTGTGTCCCCAGAGAACTGAGTGCCAAAGTGGCTGAGCAGGTTCACACCTGGGGGCCTGAATCCACACCCACCTTCTGTAAATCAGAAACTAATCACTAATTGTGCCCTCCTCCCCCAGCTCTGCTACTAATGTTACACTGAATACATTAAACCCGGTGCTATTCCCCTGGGGACTCTGACACTCTGTCTGCTTTACTTTCAGAGAAGCTGCCACCTTCCAGCAGTACAACCAAATTACTTTGCTCACTGGATTCGACCAGGATCTTGAAAACGTAGAGAAAATTTCCTTGACATTTTCCACAGGATCTGTCATTGGCCCAAAATTCAAACTCAGGATTCTCCAAGTGAGGTTCCAGTCACTCACAAACCCAGAAAGGTGAGCAGAGCTCTACAAACAAACCACTTCTGTTGTTGTAGACTGGACAGAAGCAAATGAATCTCCCAGATTGCTGGCCTGGCTGAGTCTGTGCAGAAGAATTAGATTTGATTTCACATTTAATAATTCTCATATACATATCGTGGGAATAGAATCCCACAGCTGAATACCTACTTGAACACAGAGGCTGTCTTACTGTACTGAAATCATGCCACTGGTGACGTGACTCTGATGTGGTCTGACATCTTGACCTTTGGTCAAGAAAATGACCTTTGAGAAGCTGCCCAGGCCTGAACTCTGGGCTGAAGGGAAATGCAGCTCTCAGGGAAGCAGAGATGCCCAGCCCCAAATGCACATTTTATATCCCAGTCAATTTCTATGGGCAGTCAAGCAGGGAGATTAATTTACTCCTGGAATTCCAGCGACTGGGAGCTGCTGGCCACTCTGCCCAAAGCCCTGACTGCTGCCCACAACACCATGAGCTACCTCCCAGAGCACTGCTGGTGATACTTCTCCAGCTGCTTCAGTCACCTCTTTAGCCTCTGTCTGCTCTGCAGTCCTACCCCTAAGCTTCCCTGATTCCTAGGGCACCTTTGGAGAATGGAACTTCTGTCTGAGCTCAGCAAGCACAGAATCTCTTAGGTTGACTTTGTGTGCAAAACCACCATGTGGACATCAAGCCACGCCATGCTTTAAGTTTGGGTTAAAACAAGGGCTGCATACCACAGAACGAGGAGGGTGAAGCAAAAACATTCAGGACTTTTAACATATTAAGTAATCAGTCACTGGCAGGGGAGGGATGCCCTTCCCTCCCTCCTCCCCTCTTCCAGGGCTAATGCTCATGTTTTCTCAGTGAAAGCTTAAGTATTTCCTCTGGTTTTTGGCCGGACTAGCTCCAGGCCAGATCAATGCCTGATCCCAGCTCAGAGCAGCAGCAGAATTCCTCATGCTGGGAGCAGCAAAGCAGCAGGACTAGGCAGGTGAGCTGGAAGGATCACCTTTTTTTGGTGGACACAGAGGTGTGGACTGGTTTAATGGGAACCATGGATCTGCAGGCAATGCCTGTTTGCTGGGGCTTTTTGCATTCTGTTTTTCTCACAAGCAAAAGATCACGTAGAACAGAAGAGAAAAACGCTCAAGGTATCCCTGGCCTTGGCAAGGCTTAAAGTCCACCTCACTCACTTTAGGTAGACTCAGAGCTAGTTCTCCTGAGAACACGAGTTATTTTACATATGCCCCCAGCACATGCTGAGACTCAACTGGAGGATGACAGGAAAAAAAAGCCTTTTTTCACTTGTGGCCCGTGTTTTCACCCAGACCCCAGCTGTGCCGATACGACCTTGTGCTGACGGAGAACACCCAGAGAACCTTCAAGCCCATCCCGTGCTGAAGCCGAGACCCGAGGACGCCGTGTCTGGGCGGGGCAGGGACATTTCACAGCCGTGTGGGGACTCACCTGGCGGTCCCGGGACATTTCACAGCCGTGTGGGGACTCATCTGGCGGTCCCGGGGCGCTTCCCGTGCGGACCGGACCGGGCAGCGGGGCCCGCTCTCCACGCAGGGGGTACAAAGGGGCTGTGGGAGCGACAATAAAACAATGGCAGCGCGTGGGTTTAAAGCGCGTGCTTAAAACGCAGGTTTAAAGCGTGTGTTTAAGGAGCGCATCCGCTCCGATCCGCCTCAGAACCCTGAGGGCTGCAGGGTCCCTTCCAGCCCTCACGTGTCCCCTCCGGGGCGGCCCCGCCCGCCATCCCCGCCCTCAGGGGCGGCCCCGCCCCGCGCCTGCGCGCCCGTCCCGGGGCTCTGAGGGCCGGCAGGGCCGGGCCAGAGCGGGGGCAGCGGCGGCTCCGACCCGGGATGTGGCGGCGCCCGGCCGGGCTCCTTCTCGTCTTCGCGGCCGCCACGGCCGCGCTGTGGCTGCTGTCGGTGCGGCTGAGCGCGGGGCAGACGCGCAGGTGGGTGCGGGGGGCCGGGGCTGCCCGTGTGTCCCTCTGTCCCCCCGGGGCTGCCCCTGAGTCTCTTTGTCCCCCCCCTCCGCGGCACTGCCCGTGTCTCTCCCCCCTCAGGGCGCTGCGGTTCCCGGCGGACCTGGAGGAGCTGCGGGATCTGGCCGAGGCGCTGCGGGACTACGAGCGGCAGCACCGGGGCGCGGCGCTGGCGCTGTTCTGCGGCGCTTACCTGTACAAGCAGAGCTTCGCCATCCCCGGCTCCAGCCTCCTGGTACGGGCACGGGGGGCAAAGGGCGAGGCCGGCGAACCGCGGCTCGGTCAGGAGGGGCCAGAGGGACCGGCCCGGCCCTGCAGCCGGGGAGGAATAACCCCCGGTACCAGCACAGGCTGGGGGCTGCCCTGGCGGAGAGCAGCTCTGCGGGGGAGGACCTGGGAGTGTTGGTGGGTGACAAGTTGTGAGCCGGCAGCGTGCCCTGGGGGCCAGGAGGGACAACGGGACCCTGGGGGGCATCGGAAAGAGTACAGCTACCAGGTCAGGGAGGTCAGCCTGACCCTCTGCTCAGCCCTAGTGAGGCACATCTGGAGTGCTGTGTCCTGTCTGGGCTCCTCAGGTCAAGAGAGACATGGAGCTACTAGAGAGGGTCCAGTGGAGGCCACAAAGATGATGAGGGGTCTAGAGCGTCTCTCTTTTGAGTGGAAACTGTGGGAGCTGGGCCTGTTTAGTCTGGAGAAGACTGAGAGGAGATCTTATTAATCCATATAAATATCTCCCAGGTGGGTGCCAAGAGGACAGTGCCAGGCTCTTTTCAGTGGTGCCCAGTGACAGGACAAGGAGCGATGGCCACAAACTAAAACACAAGAAGTTCCACCTCAACGTGAGGCAGGAGGGTGGCAGAGCACTGGAACAGCTGCCCAGGGAGGGCACAGAGTCTCCCCCTCTGGAGACATTGCAAACCCCCCTGGACATGTTCCTGTGTCACCTGCTCCAGATGACCCTGCCTCGGCAGAGGGGGTTGGACTGGATGATCTCCAGGGGTCCCTTCCAACCCTGACTATTCTGTGACACACTGTGTCCCCTGGCCCCACTCCCTGTTGTCCCCACAGAATGTCCTGGCGGGAGCTCTCTTCGGGCCGTGGATGGGGCTGGTGCTGTGCTCGGTGCTCACGTCGGTGGGAGCCACCCTGTGCTACCTGCTCTCTGCTGCCTTCGGCAAGCAGCTCGTCGTCCACTACTTCCCTGAGAAAGTGGCTCTGCTGCAAGGGAAGGTAAGAACTGGTACTTCTGCGGACACCCAGGATGTCCCTGGGTCAGGCTGCTTTTGGGATGGCTTAGTAAAAATGAATGTGTGCAGGGGACACATCAGGTCTGCTAAGGGCACGGTCTAGGAGCAGGCTGCTCTCTTGGGGCAAGCCTGTTTGCAGAGGGGCTGTGAGGAAAATCCCAGATCCCAAGAAAAATCAGAAGTAAGACAAAGGATTGATTGGGAAGTCCCTGTTCTCCAGAACCGCCTCCACCCATCCTGTGCTGAGTTGTACAGCTGGAGGTGGTTCTGTTGTTGCCTTCCTGATCTCTAATTCAGGTGAGATCCCACTTCCATCACTTCCTTGGAACGGGCTGGCTCACCCTTACGCTCCCACACACACAGAACATTGCTGCTTTTCATCAGTTCTGGACTGATATTGTGGCAGAAGTATCGTGGCCTTTCCACTGTTACTGCTGTCTGGGGAGCAGAGATAATGTGGAATGTTTCTCTTGCCAGGTAGAAGAGAACAGGAGCTGCTTATTTTTCTTCTTGTTGTTCCTGAGGCTGTTCCCCATGACACCAAACTGGTTCCTGAACCTCTCGGCTCCCATTTTAAACATCCCCGTGTCCCAGTTCTTCTTGTCCATCCTCATCGGTAAGGCCTGGGGACACAGTCCAAGGGGACAGTGTGACACTGCTGCTCGTCATCGCTGAGCCCAGGGAAGGCAGAGCAGCAGGACTCTGCCCCATTTAACTGTTTGCCTCTGTGCTGCCCTGAGGTCTCAGAGCATTTTGCAAATATGTGTGTCCCCACATGCTGCAAATCTCGATTTACACCCCGTTCTTTCTGTTATAAGCACAGACCCTTGTGTCTGTGTAAGGACCATAAACTAAACCACAGTGAGTTCCACCTCAACATGAGGAAGAACTTCTTTCTATGGAGGGTGGCAGAGCACTGGAATAGGGTGTTCAGGCAGGGTGTGGAGTCTCCCTCCCTGGAGACATTCCAAACCCACCTAGATGCATTCCTGTGTCACCCGCTTGAGGTGACCCTGCCTTGGCAGGGGGGGTTGGACTGGATGATCTTCAGAAGTCCCTTCCAACCCCAACCATTCTGTGATTTTGTGTGTAGCCTTGGGCATATTTGAGCTAATTTTCCCTGGGGGGATGCTAACAGCTCTTTTCTGCTCTGATTCTTTCAGGCCTTACACCATATAATTTCATCTGTGTGCAGACAGGGGCCATTCTGTCCCAGATCACCTCTCTGGATGCCATTTTCTCCTGGGACACGCTGCTCAAACTGCTGGCAATGGCCATGGTGGCGCTGGTACCAGGGACCCTCATCAAGAGATACAGCAAGAAGCACTTGAAGCTGGATGGAGACAAGCAAACTCAGACACTCAATGGCAGAAAGAGTTTGTGATGGTTCAGGTGCCCCAGTTTTGGGGTAAAAGCTGCAGGTCTCTGCAGGGGGTTATATTCTGCATGCTCTGTGCCACTAAGGACAGTGGCAGTTTTTAATTGTCCTCCTCATCTCAGAGGAGGTGTAAGATTCTTATTTTTGATGAATGTTTACCTGTGCATGTACCTGCACGGAGAGAGCGATACAGGGACTTTGTGAACAGTTGGTTAATGTGCCTGTTTCGTTTAAATCATCCCCTGTGTGCCTGAGGGGGTGCCCAGCCCACTGCCATGGGGACAAAAGGAGTGTTGGCATCCTGTGAGGAAGGCAAACCAGAACCCCTTAATCCTGCCCAGCACGGGGGGGCCAAGCACTGCCCTGGAGGCAGGAGGCAGGCCCTGCTCCCTCCAACCCCAGACTGATTTAGCATTTTTGGCCTAAAATGACAAATGGTGCTGTTGGGTGCAGTAGCACAAGCCCCAAGCTGAGAAAATAATGGTGTTTCAAGGTGCAGCTGTTGAAGACTCTTCTTTGATTCCAATGTTAAACCAGCACACCCTGCAGCAAAATGCTCAGGATTCGGGCTGCCTGTGTGTACCAGTCGTGTCAGAACACACAACATTGCTTCCCCAGTCTGTCAGTGGCTGCTACTCCCCAAAAAGACTAAAGGGGAAAAGAAAAGGAATGGATGTGCCTGGCTGACAGGGATTTATCCCTGAGAAGCACTTTGAAAACTACATATTTGCTCCTGTATAACTAGAAGGTTTCCAAATAAACAAGTGGGTTCTTGTCCCAGTTGCTGGAGAACATAGAATCCAGAATGGTTTGGGTTGGAGGGGATCATAAAGATCATCTCATTCCACCCCCTGCCATGGGCAGGGACACCTTCCACCAGCCCAGGTTGCTCCAAGCCCCGTCCAACCTGGCCTTGGACACTTCCAGGGATGGGGCAGCCACAGCTTCTCTGGGCAACCTGTGCCAGGGACTATGCTCTGGTTTTGGGGTTTTGGTATTTGCACCTCCTTGCTCTCCCTGAGTTTGCCCTCCTCTTGGCGGATAAAGTAACCTTCCTGCCGTGGAAGGGGGCAGATAGACCCCAGAGCAAGGCTTCATGATGTTATCCCAAAGTCCATAAGAACCCGTTCCCAGATCACAAAACCAGCCTGCAGCATTGAAGTACACTGGCTTTTTATTCCATGCATTGTTTGCTTTGATAGTCATTCTTGTTTCCATCACTGTACACTGGTCAATACAAAAAAAATCAAGTTTGTCTCAGGAATCCACAGAGCAGGGAGGAGGGGATGAACACTACTGGACAGGGCCAAGATGAAATGGGTACTTAACACGACAGTGGGGAGGGCAACATTCAGCTCTGGGAGAAAATCTAGGCTAGTGTTCAGGAGCTGTCAGCAGCCATGAGAACTGGATCAGGGAACTTGGGGTGCTGGAAAGGGAACCCACGGGTTACTCCTGCCTGCGAGCGCGGTGTTACTACGAGGAGGAAGCAGGTCCACTACACCTCCCAGACCCTGCTGGGAGGGACAGTGTGAGGAACCGCAGCACAGGCGCCCGTACAGCGGCGTGGAGGTCACGTCTGTGCCATTCCAGGGAGGTTCCACTAAGGAAATCCGCCCTAACGCCCTGCAGAATGGACAGTGACCACCCCGGGAATGTGGGCGGTGCTGAGTCAGCCCTGCCCACACACAGCTGAGCTCACGAGATGTGTGTGCAGGGCAAGGCTGGGGTGGCACCTCCACGGACTGGGGCGAGGGGGGCTGCCCTAGTGGCATTTCCAGAGGGATGCTGCGTTGGAGGCAGCAGGTAGGAGGAGTGACACTGGACCATAACAGTGCAATGACCTGGGTGTGTGAGGAAACTAGAGCTAAATGTGGCAGCCTGGAGGGTCCAGC